ATAGTACCCAGTATCACCGAGGCGATGGTTGCAATTAGAATCCAGTTCCTCTTCAGCAAGCCCTTCACATCTCTACCTCTCCGCTCTTTCTTTCCCAGCATATCCATAATGGACAGGCACACGGGCTGATATGGAAACGCGAATGAATATGGCGAGGCTCGCGCTCGTTTCAGTCAGACGGAGGACCGCTGGAATAATGTGAGGCAGGTTTGTGTGAAGCTGCAGCTGCTGTTGGGAGGGGTGATGTGACTCCTCTCTGTCTGAGCCTCTCTTGATAACCTTTGCTTAGTTTATTGCAGATTGACCTCTGATTTACCTTTATTTCGTCTCATAAACGAAGACTGTGGGGTATAAAATTATCGGAATTTAGAAAGCACAACATATCATGACATCACGCTCGTGCTGATGTTGCAAAGCCACGTAATCTATTTTGGTATATTGTTAGCCTACAGTATAAAAAAAAAATCGCATTTTTTCGTTAAACACTTAATCTTGCCTTTTTAATGTTTTGTTCAGATTAACAATTGACACTCAGTTTAAGAAAAGCACGTTCACATATTCGCTTTCTTCAATACCCTTCTGGCAATAATTTATGACAAAGTTATTTGAATTCTAAATGAGTCTCTAAAGATATTACAAAAGACAAATATTAATTTAGTCAAGCAACTTAAAGGGATAGTTCATCCAAAAAAGAAAATTATGTCATGATTTACTCAAGCTCATGTTGTTCCAAAACTGTGAGTTTCTTTTTTCTGTTGAACTAAAAAGATATTTTGAAGAATGTTGTTGGTAACCAGACAGTTGACAGTAGCAATATTTCATAGTATAGAAAAATATATTAAAAATACTATTATTAATACTAATAATGGGGACCAGAAAATGTTTATACCACATTCTTCAAAATATCTTCTTTTGTTTTCAGCACAAGAAATAAATTAATACAGGTTTGGAACAACTTGAGGGTGAGTAAACGATGACAGAAATTTCAAATACTAAACTACAACTTCATCTTTACAAATGTGTAATTAAAAATATATTTAATACATGACATACAAGTTACAACAGAAATTCAATTATTAAAGTATATTTTACCATAAAGCTTGCCAGAACATTCAGCAGTACATTACATTTAAACCTTAAAAGACAATAGAAGTCAGGGATGATGTCCCAAGACGATCTCAAGGATCGGTATAGACTATATATTTATTTGATAGATAGAGCTTTGAGCCCCTGCCCCTAAGAAACTCTCTGCACATCCCTGTATACATTGGATTGATTTTAATTACTTAAATGTGCTTGAAGTGTGCAGTGTGCACCAAGCACTATAATACGCCTATCGGATCGGGACTCGTTATTGGCAGATAGCTACAATATACATCAGGGGCCTCCTCAAAAAAGTTGGGTAAGAAAATTACCCATATTACATAAATAAAACAACGTTAAATAAAATTTTTAAAGTGTATGAATCACTAGTTTTTTAAGTAACACTGTCCAACAGCGACACCAGCAGGTAAAGTTACACGTCTTTTGTGCCTCCCCTGAGCCCATTGACTTTTACCACAAAGCGTGCAGTGGGTTCAGTGGAGGGTAATTAAAGGAGTAGTTCACTTTAAAATGAAAATTACCCCATGATCTACTCACCCTCAAGCCATAGGTGTAAATGACTTTATTCTTTCAGACGAATACCAGAGTTATATTAATAAACACCCTGACGCTTCCGGGCTTTATAATGGCAGTGAATTGCAACCATCAGTTTGAAGCTCGAAAAAGTGCATCCATCCATCATAAAGAAACTTCACACGGCTCCGGGGGGTTAATAAAGGCCTTCTGAAGCAAAACGATGAGTTTGTGTAAGAAAAATATTCATATTTAACACGTTACAAAGTAAAATTCTAGCTTCTGGTCAAGCAGCCATACGCAGTCTACTTGCCCCTAAAGCGCAACTTACGAAACTTATGACTTTAGAAGTATTGTAGTGCGTCATGGCGTAGCGTAAATATCAGCAGTACGTCGCATTACTTTAGCATTAGTCGCATTAGTTGCGCTTAGACTTAAGTCGAATCCATATGTTTGTTTGGCCGGAAGCTGGTTATTTTACTTTATAAAGTTTTAAATATGGATATTTTTCTTACACAAACTCATCGCTTTGCTTCAGAAGGTCTTTATTAACCTCCCGGAGCAATGTGGAGTTCTTATATAATGGATGGATGCACTTTTTCGAGCTTCAACCTGATGGTTGCAATCCAAAGCCAGTTAAAGGAACACTCCGACTTTTTGGGACTTTAGCCTATTCACCTTATCCCCCAGAGTTAGAAAAGTCCATACATACCTTTTTCATCTCCGTGCGTGCTATAAGTCTGTTTGACGCACCCACCGCTAGCTTAGCACAAAGACTGGATGTAAATGGTTGCAGCTAGCATACTAATCCAAATAAGTGACAAAATAACGCAAACATGTTTCTATTTACATGTTGTGATTTGTATAGTCACAGACTGTACAAAAAACAAAGTCACATGAGACACAGACATATTTTAACCGTATAAATACTGGGAACTATATTCTCTGAAGGCGAAGCACTGCTACTTGGGCGGAGTGATAACCGCAGCACCTGAGACGCGCCGTGGTGAGGAGCAGAGAGCGCGTCTCAGGTGCTGCGGTTATCACTCCGCCCAAGTAGCAGTGCTTCGCCTTCAGAGAATATAGTTCCCAGTATTTATACGGTTAAAATATGTCTGTGTCTCATGTGACTTCGTTTTTTGTATACTCTGTGACTATACGAATCACAACATGTAAATAGGAAAATGTTTGCGCTATTTTGTCACTTATTTGGATTAGTATGCTAGCTGCAACCATTTACATCCAGTCTTTGTGCTAAGCTAGGCTAGCGGTGGGTGCGTCAGATAGAGTTACAGTACGCACGGAGATGAAAAAGGTATGTATGGACTTATCTAACTCTGGGGGATAAGGTGAATAGGCTAAAGTTTCAAAAAGTCGGAGTGTTCCTTTAAAAGCGTCAGGGTGTTTATCATGGCGTAATTTTCAGTTTAAAGTGAACTACTCCTTTAAGAAAGAACGTGACGTGAGAGGAGGCAATGCCTCCAGCGTGCTATGATTGGTTCGTGTGATATATCACGCCTCTTGTTTTTGTGCACGTTTGCGAATCAGTCTGAATCAATCAAATGATTGCGTTAATGGGAAGACAAATCAAAATCAAACTTGAAATGGCCTGAAAATATAATGAATGCGGGTTTTTTTAGTGAGCAATTAGCTTGGTGAAATTAAAGGTACATCGTTTCTGTGATCAGTGTGTACTGAGCTTGAGGACTGAAGAGAATAAGTTGACTATTATACAGAACAGCTGGACTTCAGTTCACAAATAAAATATATTGATTAAATTGTTACTGCTGTTAGTTATTATTTGGGAATAAAAATGCTTAAAACACTAACTTGATGATATTTATACTTGTTTTTATTAAAAAGAACATTAAACACATAAATTAATACAAAATAGAATTGTTTTTGGTTTCTCTTTTTAATGTAATGTTTATTTAACTAGGAAAATGTGACAACATTAAGTGTAACTGGGACATGAATTTACATTTGATTTATTTAAAAAAGTGTGAGGACTTAGTCTGCTCATATTAAAACAATAAGTATGTTTTTGTAATACTTTGTAATAAGTATGCTAAAGTGTACTTCTTTTTCACAAGGGTCTCTAAGGATTAGATATTATTTTTTACATTTCTTATGTCAGGTCTGGCATTCCATATGCCTTTATGCATTTAGTTTTTTTTTTTTGAGAATGGTTGTACAAATGAAATGATACAATAATCCACTGATAATACAATACATTATGTTGCAGCTTCTCCAGATTTACCATCTTTCTATGAAACTTTAAAGATATCAGATGCAAGCAATGTTTAATTGTTTAATTGCAACATGTTTTGTTTGTTTTTCCCCCAAAATATATTCAAATAAATAAAAGTTGGGAAAATATTAACAAATTAAATATCACGACACTTCTAATTGTTTTACATTCTGGAAGTATATATTGGTGGAGCAAATCAGAACTTCATTATATCAGAAAAATATAATATTTATATACAAAGATTAGATTTATAACATTTAGGTAGGGTAATGCAGATTTATTTGTTTTTTTTTGCATTAATAAATATGGAGTTGTTATTGGCCTAGTAGACTGTCATTAAAATCAGACATTCAGTTTAATATAATAAATCCATGGATCATTATAATTTTGTCATCGTCATTTCTCCCAGTTACAGATTAGCCCTAGTAAAAAAAATCGGGCATTATCGGGCATGTTTACTTCAAATACACGTCCAGTAGAGGGCGTAACTTCATTATTTAGAGGTGTGAATAAAACTAGTAGACATCTTACCTGTTGTTTTCTGGTTGGAGCAGAATTTGATAGATTAAACATTACAATTCACTAATTCGCGAGACTAAACGTGAGTAAATCTTAATAGCAGATATGTTATAAATAAAACGTAGGCTACTTAAAACAGCATTTTATTAAAACATGGATAACTTTTCCAGCCAAGACATAGAATAGTACATTTTAAAGTAACAGCTAACTATATTGAAACTGTATAATTTTTTGTAAAATGTTTTTATGAATGGAATAATTAATGCAAAAACTCAAATGGGACGCATGAAATGGTCTTACAAATAAACCCAATCGAAATAAAACGTAACAAACAGACTGACCACGAGGTGGCGTAATGACGTCACAACGTAAACGAATCACTGATTTATGTTTTTTTAGCGTTAATTTAAAACGAACCGTTCGAAAGAGCCGATTCGCGTAAACGACATTTCATATTTGAGTTGTAAGCAACATGACTCGAACAAATCCCAAAGGAGGCGCGGCTTGTTTTATTGACAACCTAGTCTACCAATCAGCGTCCAGACAAGAACCTTTTGTATAGATCACAAACCAATCAGCTGAGTGGAAGGCGGGTCGTCGCCGCTCTCTCGTCTGCTGTGCAGAGAATCAGACCGCTTGCTCGCTAGAAGGAAGTGCTTCTGAAGTGGCACTGGTTTTATTATGATGCACATGAGCATTCATCTCTTCGGATAAAATTACGTAATTCCCGACATCAGAACAGAGGGATTTAGCCCGGGTGTATTCATCTCCCCGGTACATCTGGAGCTGTAGAGGCTGTTTTAACCGGAGCAGCGTGGGTTAAGGTGGGCCTTGCCCGGATATCTGTCTGACAAGCGAACCAAAACCGATCCGGTACCCGCCTCAAGATAACCAGCATAGTTAGTCCTCCAGAGACTACACTCGGAGACCGTTTGGACTATAACACACACTAGCCAGATGGGTAAGTAAGGCGAAACATGAAGATTTGCAGATATATGGTAAAGAATGTGAACTCTTGATCAGTATTAAACATTTACAAATGCGATACACATGATAAATGCACACTAGTAAGTGTGTATGAGTGGCTCAGGCTGTAACTGATGGTTTTGAGCCACAAACAGACTCGAGAGTGTGTCCATGTTCAACATTATGTGATTTGGAGACAGTATGCAGAAACTCATCCTTAAGGGAGTCTGTGATGTAACGTTTCAATGGATTATTCACAAATGCACAACATGACAACACATGTTTATCATCCTGCATCCTTCATTTTGGGGCCAATTATATTCATCTGGTTTGGTGTGGTGATCGCCAATGTTTGAAAACAGCTTATGAGATGAGTGTTTAAATCTGCTGGGAATCTATGTTCATCCCTGCTGCCAGGAAATTAAGTTTATATTTCTTAGACATCTCCAGTGCCCAGTGTTGTGGGATTGACAGCATTTGATGTAATACTTGACAAAAATATGTGAACCAGATAAATAGCCCTCGGCTTTCTGCACTCCTCAGTGCATGTTCAAGTTATTAGAATGAATATGAACAATCTGGATCATGCAATAGCAAGATGGTGAGTCTGCTGAGGTCACATATAAGCAGACTTACGCTTAATATATTGTGATCAAGGGATGGGCTGCGGTGTGTTGGGACAGTGATTCCCATCCTTTTTTGTCTCATGTACTCCAACAGCCCCATCAGTAAGGCTTAAGTATCCATTATGTGACAGCAAATCTAATATTATACTTAATCATTTAGCATTATCATTAATGTTATTATAGAAAGAAGAATAAACATCATGAGTGGAAAACAGACACATAGTACCATATTCATTCTGCTTCGTTTGTCATCCACACAAATTGATAGGACTTAAACACGTTACGTTACACACATTATTTTATTTTATTTCCTCAAAAGTATGCAAATTATTCACCCTCCTGCCGTTCTAAGTCTGAATTTCTTCTGCAGAACAAAAAATAGGATATTTTGAAGAATGATGGTTTTGGTGACCATTGACGACTTTTACATGGACAAAAAAACAGACATTTGTCAAAATATATTTTTAGTTGACAGAGGAAAAGTTGTACAGGTTTGGAAAGACATGAGAGGGAGGAAATGATGACTGAATTAAAATGTTTGGACTATCTCTTTAAAGTTAATAAGAAATGAAAGTTGCAACTGTCTTTATTATCATATAATGACGTTTGAGTGAAGTGGCAGATAAAAAAAATTCTTACCTGATTTTCGAAGTAGGAAATGCATTGATTTCATGCCGAACTTGTAATTCATGTTCAATCTGTGAAAAGGCAGCAGTTACACCAGAGCTGCAAGTATAAGTCCTAATAGAAATGACAAAGCTATATTACAAACCAGAGTATCTGCGGATGTTTCTTTTTGTTTCAGCTTCTGAATATCCTGATTCCTAAAGGGCCATTCCACCGTATTAATATTGCACATTACAGATTAGAAAACCAGTGTGCTCTAACTCGTAGTTGTGTACAGTAAGCAAATCAGATTGAAACTGAAACTGTTAATTTCATACAACAGCAACAGTCTTCAGATTTCTTTTGTACCTGACTGAATCACTGGAAAAATATTGCTTAATATTACCAAACAAGTTTAAGGTAGACTAATTAATTTTGCTTTCATGCTACTATTTCTGCCCAGTGTGATAGTTATGGAAGTATACACCCAAAAGCATAAGTGTGTGTTGTGTTTTTTACTTTATATTTAAATATATTTTAGAACATATGAAAGAATTTTAGCTTTTTTGTACAATTTGTCATAAAGATTCATATTTTTTATATTCAACCGAAGACAAAGGAGGCTGTTCTTGAAAATTGCAACAAAAAAAAACAAAAAAAAAGATAAAATCAGTATATTTGGCTTTTTTATTTTTTTAAGGATCTTAGAGTTAGTATTAATCAGTTTTGTAGTTGTTATGCTCTATACAGGAGTACGATATAGTTTGTTTGCTGCTGAAAGTTCTTAATAATTTTTTTTTTTTTTTTTTTTTTGCTAGGCTAAATATGTAGACATTGGTGATTTGATATTACATCTGACTCATTTTGCTCTGTTGGCCTTTCTCAACATGATTTGTTTTAGTCTGTTAATGGAATGAAGGCTTCACTTGCTTTATCCATCCATAGAGTGACAAGTGTACTCTTCTAGAATCACCTTTCACACTTTAATTGGCCAAATTTGGCTTCTTTTCTGGCCTTGTCATATTAGTTGAGCTTTTCTACCTATTAAAAGAGCTTCAAATCCTGAGTTGACAGAGAAAGTTGATGATGGCACCAACAAAGCCTGATTAGATTGGTTTGGTTTATCAAGCATCTTCTTTCATGTCAAATTCTTACATATCAATAAATTCAATTAGTATAATAAGACACTAAAGGGCTGTTACCAATCAAATGAAATTAGTATGAACAAAATCTATCTTTGTACTGCTGAGGTGACACAGATGCTGCATCTGAAGTGGCATTTAGATGTATTTGAAAAGCAAAATTACAATAGCATAAATGTAAATTGGTTCTAAATAAAATTTTCTGAATGTACAAATATGAAATGTTGGGAAAAATGCACTGATACTTTTAAATAGGAATCTAAATAAGTCATTGAATCATTGACTCACCCAATTTGTTCAGAAACGCCGAATCATTCCGTAATGATTGAAACACTGTTGTGTGTTGCTTGACCATGCAAAACAGTTTAGCAATGAACTAAAACAGAGCAAAAACAGTCAGTATTGTGTCTAAAATCTAAGTCACTTAATATGAACTAGTTGTTTATTGAACTGTTATAAAGTCAATGTCACTTATAATAAAATCAGAATAATTTTCGTCCAAACATTTTTGGTGTTCCGAAGTCCCCGTGCTTCCATATTTATGATTTTATTGTCGTCGTTTTAATCCGGCTACTTGAATTCTTTCAATTGCCCTTCAAAAGACAACAAAAAGTGTTAAAGTGCTCCTTATGCTATTTTAAAGGTTCCTAATTTTGTTTTGGAGATTCCCTACAATAGGTTTTCATGCATCCAAGGTCAAAAACTCTTTAATTTTCTCATAATATACATTGCACATCACCTCATTTCTCAAAGAGTCTTCTTAAAGAAGTTCGTTGTCTCTCTAAACCTCTCCTTTTCGAGAACCTACTCTGCTCTGATTGGTCAGATGGCCCAGTCTGTTGTGATTGGTCTGATGTCCGAAACTAAACCCCTATTTCCCAATCTGAATTTCAGCTCTGGATCCTTTCTTTAAGGAAACAATAACTTTATTTGTCGTGCACTTTGATCTTTAAAACTTTGCAGACCTTTTACATTCACAAACAGCCATATTACACACTGCATGAAAGGTAATATTCGCACAAGCATAATAATATTTAAGTGAATTCTTTAACAAGCCTTGTGAAGTTAAATGATTTGGGATCCTTGAGAACACTGCCTTATAAACACAAGTATTTTATCTTTACATAATTTTCTGCAGTTCTAAACCGTTAGTGATATAAAGCTGTTGTTTATTTCCCTGTCATCAGCAGATAACCTAAGCGAAGCCCTGAAAACGCTGAAGCTCTCATCGGCAGACAGCGCTTCAGACAGCGTCGAGGGCTGCTTGGACTGCCTGCTCAAAGCTTTGGCCCACAATAGTAAGTCTGCATATCTTTTATATAGCTGTTCATTTTTATCTTTACTTACAGCTGAGATAAAGAATGATTGAGAAGCGAAGGGAACTTAAGCTCAGGGCTTATATATATATTATCTTCAGGTTATCCAAGGATGCCGGATTGAAAAAAAAAATCCATTTTGTTGATAAGGACCTTGTAGTGTCACGACTCACGTTGCTGCGATTAAAATATACAAAAATTGCTAATACTAGATTCACAATGTTAATAACTGTTTTTCAAATCTCTGTCTGTAAAAAAAAAAAGGGTCTATAGATGCATTTTCGTTGCAGAAATATAAACCTGTCAGACCGAAGTCACCATTTCTAAACTAGATGTCACGTTGGACGTGTGCTATCTCAAAGATTCTTCAGTTCCTGCATCACTACTTGTGACTGAATCTTCAACCTTTGTGTTTGCAGGTCAGATCATTTCATAGGATCATATTAATCACTGATGTTCCTCACTCTGTTTTCAGATGTTGAGACTAGTGAAAAGGTCCAGGAGATGGGTGTTCTTGCCATGATGCCCGCTCTTCTGTCTGTGCAGAACTCATGTACACCAAAAGTAGCCAACATCATTGCAGAGGTGGCCAAAAATGGTAAGTGCTACTACATCAGTCGTTGCTCTTCTTGGATTACTGACACCTAGTGGTGTGGATGCAGCGTCACGCAAAATTTTTCTCTTAAAGGTGAACTAAAGCCGCGTTTCCACCGCAGGAACTTTACCCAGGAACTAGGAACTTTGGCCTGGTACTCGGTGTGTTTACACCGCAGGAACCAGGGTCTAAATGAAGTTCCGGGTAGATATTTCCCCCTCCGAAAGTCCCTGCTCGCGAGGTAGTACTTTTTCAAAGTTCAGGAACTTTCGCGGGTGGGGCTTGTGCGCTGAACATGCTGATTGGTTGTGTTCACGCCGCATTATGATTGGATAACTCCGCGCAGCATTTTATTTTAACCGGAATTTTTAGAATCTATTGCAGTTCGTGGCTTCATGCAGTAATGAAGTTCCATGCAGTAAGAGTTGTCTGTCTGCAAATATGGAATTTAATAAAAATAAAAAAGGCAGCTGGACCGACGACGAGATTCAGGCTTTATTAAGCGTATTTGCGGAAGAGAAATTTTCTGCGCGTTCGTCCCAGCCTTCTCACGGTCAATGTCCGCAATAGCTGATAACATACGCTGTCTAATTTTAGATCTAACGTTAGCATTACGAGCTTTCTGAACACGCTTTAGTATCAGTGCTCGTCTCTTTTCTGCCGTTTTGTTAATTACCTGGTTAGTAAACCAATACATCTCAAACAACTGCAGCACAGTGTGAATCTCTTCCATATTTATTATAAATGTGGCGCTCAAAACTGATTACTGTCTTTTACAGTCTACTGTCCGTCACAAGCAAGCAATGAGCAGTCGCGCGCAGTTTACCCGGTACTTTAGACCGCGATGTAAACGCAGAAAGCTACCGGTCTGGGGCAAAAAAAGTTCCTGGGAAAAAAGTTCCTGGGACAAATTGTTCCGGGCAATTGCGGTGGAAACGCGGCTTAAGTAACTTTTTTACCTTAACCGAACAGCTTTGGGGTCATTGTAATGTTTATATTACTGATTTCGTGTTGAATGGTGGTCGTCTCGCACCTTGCAACTTTGGGCCGGCGGGCCGCCCAGTACTGTTAGGAAGTATCGTGTGATATCAGGTCTCGCGAGGTAACGAATTGCTTTACGGCAAAAAACAGATCTGATAAAATTCTGATAAAATGTGCATCAAACTGAAACAACCCGGCGCCGTATACATGTGGTAGGGTGCGCGCAGCTCTTAAAGGGGCCATACCTTATTTCCACTCGTTACAGCGTCCATCCTACTGAACAGGTACCGGTGTACAGGGGGAGGGGATCCGGCTGTGAGTGCGAGCCATCTCTGCGTGAGTGCTATTCACGACAGTACAAGTACTCCACAGTGACTCTAGGGGTCGCTGTTTGACAAAAACAGAATTCCAACTTAGTGCTGCTTTAGTGATGTCATTGTAGAAATGCACAAAAAGTAAGTGGACAATTCATATTTGAATATTACCCATGTGACCCTGGACCACAAAACTAGTCACATGGGTCAATTTTTTGAAATTTAGATTTCTACATCATCTGAAAGCTGAATAAATAAGCTTTCCATTGATGTATGGTTTGTTAGGGACAATATTTGGCTGAGATACAACTATTTGAAAATCTGGAATCTGAGGGTGCAAAAAAATCAAAACATTGAGAAAATCGCCTTTAAAGGGTAACTAAACCCCTGGTCAGAGCCTGACTCCACCCACTGGCAATATTTGAAAAATGCTGGAAAAGTGGGCGGAGCCAAGCGGAGTTGGGGGGATGAACGGATACTCTTTCCTGATCGTTTTTAATACTCGTAATTCCAACTCCTGACTCGCTACAGTGGTTTTGACGAAACAAGATGGTTTTTATACTGCCATGGACGTGGTAGCTTGTACCAAGGGCGTGGTAAGCTAAAATCTGCTTACGTCAGCTCTCACCGCTACCGTCACGAACTACCGCAAACATCCAATAGGAAAATTCAACTGCAGTAGCCACCGTTCAACCTGAAGAGGGCAGCACTCAGACGTTTTTACACCATATATTGTAGAATTCAAACACTTTATACCCAAATGTCAAAAAAGTTACTCGAATCAATGAACAGCACTAATAAAGCCCCAGTCTTACAGATCATTAATTAAAAAAAGTTGGTTTAGTGTTTAGTTTCCCTTTAAAGGGCATATTGCACTTTTTTTTATATATATATATATAAACTTGTATGAAAATACCATATGAAAAGTTAGTGCAGAATTTAAAATTGTTTTGCAAGACATAAGGGCACCAATTTAGTAGAAAACGTGACCGTTTCCTTGTTCTCCAAAACACACACCAAAACTAATACAACTTTAATTAAAATGAAATAGAAACCGGAAAATATAAAAATAAAAACTAATTCAAAATGTTAATAAAAATGTCAACAATACTAAAATAACAGTATTGTTTTTAAATGAGAAAAAAGTTACTGAGTGAATATTTAGGACTATCTGCCTCCATTTTCACTGGCATAGTACTAGTCTGTAATATCATTCTTAATAGAAACCTGTTTAATAGCATTTTTAAATATGGTTTCCCCCCTCATAGGTCTGTTTGTTTGTCTCTGCTGTTCAGAACGTTCTTCCTCAGTTTCACTGATGCTGCAGTCGAGTCTGTGGCCGTTCATGCGTGTCATTATTACTGCTGTAGGCAGTGTGAAGGACATGATAGCCTCGCATGTAAGCTATAAGATCAGTGCAGCAGAACCAGTCCATCTCAAAACAGACAAACAAAAAAGATTTACATTTTTTATGAGAAAAGTTGACTCATAAACACGCTGCACTACGCATGATGCAATCCTGCGATATGCAGCACTATATGAGAAAATAAATCACTTTTCCTTGAGTTAACACTTAAAAATGAACAAAGTATGATTTTTTTTAAATCAAATTTCAATTACGGCTGCAACTAACAGTTGTTTTCATAATTAATACATCAATTATTGCTTTAATTCATCAATTAAACTGATAAAAAAAGATGCTGTATTTTATTCGGGGGAACACATCACTAATAAACGTCATGTATGAATGTATGCTGTGCAAAAAGGAATTTAAAATACAAAGTGCATGCAATATAAATTTAATGTAGGTTTTGTTAAAAAAAAAACCATAAATACTTGCATTACATCATTTAAATATAAAAATAACGAGCCTATTTTCTTTATCAGTTGTTGAGCTCCTGATTTCAATCTGATTTCTCTGTCTGTGAAATGTTTTATAAGATATTAAAGGGACAGTCCACCCCAAAAGGAAATTCGGTCATCATTTACTCACCCTCATGTCATCCAAACCTATTGGACTTTCATTCATCTTTGCAACTCAAATGCATATGTTTCTAATATTCTCTCATAATATTCTGTCCATCCATTGAAAGCTAGGTAAACGACATATTCATGCTTCAAAAAGTACATAAAGACGTCGCAAAAGTAATCCTTATGAATCGAGCGGTTTAATCCAAGTCTACCAAAGAGAAACAATCATTTTAATTAATGAACAGATTTCATTCTTAAACAAAATCTCTTAACGCACAATACATCGGGCTCATCAAATATGGTCAACGAAAGCTCGACCGTACTTGTGACCACTGAGGTTTTTCGCACTTGTAAATCAAGCACATCTGATCGTTGTTTTTATTTATTTATATCAGAACAACACTATTTATAATATTGAATGTGTGTTGTGCTTTTATGATTGTACGATTTGCAAGTTTAACAACATTATCCTCAGTGGACGGCTTTCTATTTTTTTAAATCCAGTCACAGATGTGATGTTAACAGAAGAACAGCTTGGTTAGACTAGACTAGAGTATGGGAGAGCTTTCTACATGGAGATGTAAATGTACTCGTTCACTTTGCTTTGTAGGCATCATTTCAGTCTGTTCTGAACCGTTTGAAAGAGCCGGTCGTTCGTCGACAGATAAGTTACCTTGTTTATGCACAACAGCAAATCAAATTTATTTTTACAATTACATTTATTGTGAGAGCACACCAGTGCAGCATTTTATTATTTGTTCTTTGATCAGCTTTAATTAGTCTTTCTGTTGACTGTGTTGAAGTACCGGTACTTCCTTTTTTTATTTTATTTTTTTATAACTTTCACTTAAATATTTACCAGGCTCTGGTTTGTTATATATAAAAATAAATAAAAAAAAAGCCTGGAGAAAACCAGCAATTATTAAATCTTTCCCAAATTTCTTTTCTAAAAGAAGCTTTTAGCTTTGTAATTACAGCTCTAGCACATCAACCTGACTCAGTGTTCTTCTTCACCTAAAGCTCTTAGTCTAATTACACGAGTGTTTCTTCAGACAGATAGAGCTGGGGTTTGGAAGTGTATGGAGAGTGCCAGAGATAAAAAGGTTAAAATAATGAATGGCCTTTTAGCAGTTTGCTAGGTAGCTAATGACAGTGGCTTGCTGGTGTGCCAGATCTCTGGCAGCTCCTGCTGGCATTCAGCTGTCACAATTCCTCTGGGAACATCTGTGTTTCATCCACTGATGTCTCCTCCACTTTCTATTAGGAAAGATATATTTTAGGGATTTAAATTATGCATTTGCTACAGTATGATTTACTGCGGTGTTAGTATTGCACATTGATCAGATGGTAATTCCATGGTACTCATGTTGTTATTGTTAACTAAAACTATTAAAAATAAAATGTAGATGTTAGATGGAAAACTTAAACTTGTACATTAAATCATCCACAATAAAAATTTGACCACTTACAAACATTTAAACATTCGGTTTCGGAGAATGAAATCTTACATGTCTGGTTGGTTTGTGGATATCTTTAGTAAAATAATAATAACTCTAATTTTTTGAAAATGTGAGTGATGCTGCTTGCCAGTTTTTTTAACTAAAGCTATTAAAAATGATCTGAAATAAAATAAAATCATGTAAATATTAGACAACAATCTTAAACTTTGCTTAAATGTTGCCTTGGCATCTAACTAAAATAAAATTAGTTTAATTGGAAGTACTAAAATGACAAAAATGTAATAAAAATAAATTAAAGCTAAACTGAATTATTAAAAACAAAACTAGTAAAAATGACAAAAGACAGAACAAAATTACTAACATTTTAACTAAACTTAAATAAAAAAATAAAAAGCTAATTCTGAATATGAATAAATACTATAATAGTATATAAATAATATTAAAATAATTCTGCATTGTACTGTTTTATATACAGTGGTACTAAATGATTTTCACATTCATATACCATGGTATTTATTTACACAGTACTTTAGGTAATAAATCCTAAATCCTAAAAAGGAATGCTAGCAAATTGCTAATTAGATCAAGTAAAATCAATCAAGATAAATTATTATTGGATCGAATGAAATTTCCAGCTTTTCAAATGTTTATCCAGTAGGATTTTTTATTTATTGTTAGAGAATTCTTTTTTGTTCCCATTATGGACCTAAAATTTTAGTATTTTAATTAGCAATCTTGTACATTCTTTGACTAGTGATATTTTGTGTGGTTATATTTAGTGATGCATAAAGGCATTGAATTTGGTTGGTTGACGCAGACATTGATTGCACAACAGAAAGGTTTTAAAATCGGTAAGTATTTATCTGATAATGATTCCTTGAGCTTTAATTGTTGCCGTTCTCTGCAGAGTTCATGAGAAGCCGGTGTGTGGAAGCAGGGCTCATTCCTCCACTGGTTCAGCTGCTAAACTGTAAGGACCAGGAAATTCTGCTCCAGACGGGACGGGCCCTCGGCAACATCTGCTACGACAGCCGTAAGTGCCCATTATCGCTCCCTCAGCCGTTCCAAGCCCCGGTGCATCCACAATGAGATATTTTCCTGTCTCTTGGATGATTTGAAGGGGAACTGCTGGTGCAGTTGTCTGAAGGAGTGACATGAGGAAGATGGATTGTAGATGCATGGCTAAACTCTTCCTGCACACATTCATTTCGCACATGGTTAACAAGAGCTTATACCATTCCTAAATTCTTATCGTCCCATAGATGATACGTGAATATGGTATGAGTGGATTAAATGAATTTAGACCATTGAATTCACGCACACTTTCAACAATTAATTATCATTAATGTAACAGTCCATTGTTAATTATTCTGTACTTGAGCCATATTGATGAACTAGCAGTGGTTGATAATTGAAACTATATCTTAATGCTAACTTAATGTCAACTTTTGCTCTTTGTTGTAGGGAGAATGGACAGTATGATTTATGGCTTTAATGTGTCTTGCTGCCTTGCAATCGTAACAGTACAGTGGTGTGAACCGTATTGACCTGTATGTTGTAGAAGTCTTAAACCTTTGGGACTTATAGAGTTTAGGGAAAAGAAAAGAGCTTTGTCTGGATGAAAAACATGAAGAATGCCGTTCCCAAGAGTGTGTTTGGTGTCTGTCGAGCGATCACAGCTGCGTCTGGTGTTTTTGACTGATGAAAACATGAGGAAGCAGTCATTTGTCTGCAGATTTATTGACTAAATCCAGTTATTTCCATCCGGGGGGCACTTAAACCTATAAAACATAAATCATATCTTAATAAAAAAACAGTAGAATGAAAGAGTTTTACTTCATGTAATTATAGTGTACCTCTGAACTGACAGATTCCCTTTAGTAGGTAAATACATTTCAAATGTACAGTCAAAAAATATTGCTGACTCCACAGAATTTTCTCCAATCAAATGCTCTCTAGAACGATAATGTCCCTCCCCTAACACCACCTGTAACCAATCAGCAAGTAGTAAATCACGCGGTGCGTCCTAATTCGCATACTATCCGTCCTAAATAGTATTTGAAAATAGAATTAGTACGTCCCAAATCGTAGTATGTTAAAATGAGTGTTCCAAAGAGACCCTGATAGTGTACTATTTCCTAAGATAGTGTTCTTACACTCTAACGGCTAATATTGCCCACAACCCATTGGACAAGGATTCGATTAGAACTACAAACACGAGTAAAACGTGTTAAAAACTACAAACATGGAGGACACGCGAGTCCGGTGGCTATGTAGAGAGGTTTAGATAAAGGGGTTTGAGTGATTAATCATCAGTATCTAACCTGACGAAAATGTATTTATTCGATGTTGTCCTCATTATATTTCATCTGCAGAAGCATTGTGAACTTCTGTAAAGATACGTTTAGCCATTAACTTTTAAATGCATCATCATATTCAAATTACAAACACACGAGGAGAGTCTCTGCATTAAAGACCCACGACTGGCAGATCAACGTAATACAACATTTCTCTCCGAAACTGTAGGAAATTAAATGAAATTGAATGGAGGAATTTAACAAGATGATTGACAGGGCAGTTTATGGTGACAGGATGCACGTAACTAAGCAACAGAGCTGTCCGTCAAAGATGATGAAGTAGTTTGTCCCAAAGCTTGCCTACTCTTTTGCTACACACTCAAAAGTATGTACTTTTTCTTCACAAAAAGAGTACATACTTTTAGGGCGTAGTATAAGTAGGCGAAATGGGACGCAGCAATGGTTCATGGCTATTTTTAAAAAGAGGAGCGAGCACATCAATATGCACCGCTCAAACGTCCTGTTTAAAAAGGAACATGAACACAAGAAAGTTTTATTGGGCAACTGATATGAGTCTTCATCTCATGTGAGTGCTCATAATTTTTAACAGTTTACCCTTAGAACTGTTAATCTATCTATTTATTTATTTATTTATTTATTTATTTTTGAAGTTGTTTGTAGCAAACGAAATTTGCTAAATCATAATCATGACATAAAAAGTCAAAATGAAAAAACAATATTCATCTTTACGTTTTATTTCATAATTGACTTAGTATCTCATATTTTTGTACTTTTTTTAATTATGGCTTAGTATCTCATAATTTTGCCTTTTAATTGCATAATTGACTTAGTATCTCAAAGTTTGACTTTTTCATATTTATGACTCAGTATCTCATAATTTTGACTTCCTATGTCATGATTATGATGTACCAAAGCATGACAAAGCATGGTGACTGGATTTTTTTGAGAGAAAATGCTGGATTAGATTTTAAATGTAAGTATTGGATTCAAGATGTTCAAATGTTGACTTATCTTACTAAGATGTGATGCAATGTGGACATATTTAGACAGGCTGTGAACCCTGTTTTGTTTTCTGACAGTTGAAAATCACTTTCAAAAAAGTCCAGTCCACACGTTACTGCCGCTCTTCAACGATAACATTAAAAATGATCATATATCGGCCACATTATCGGTATCGGCCGATATATGATCATTTTTAATGTTATCGTTATCGGCCCGACAAAGAAAATTTAGCCGATATATTAAAGCCGATAAATAATGTATTATATCCTTCAGCTGAGACACTTCAGATGTGCACTGTTCAACATGATGCTTTTAAACTGCTTGAAATATGATTGAAATCACTTTAAAAAAGGAAAATCTAGTTAAAGTGCCGCAAGTCTGTCATATCGGCTACATAACATTATAATGAGAACATCATAATTGTGTTTGTATCTTGGCTTTTAATGGTGATACTTTTGCTTTTATAATCAGGCTCTCAAAAAGTTTAAAAAAAATTTGGATTTAGATTTAGCTGCCAATATATCGGTTATCGGCTTCCAAATGTAAAGAATTATCGGTTATCGGTATCGGCCAAAATTGTCATATCGGTGCATCCCTACTTTTATTAAACCTCTCATCTGGTTTGAGAGTTATAATCATCAGGTCAAACAAACTTGGGTGCCTCATTTAAGGAAAAGGAAATATTTTAGTTTAAATATGAATAATTTCTGATATTGGCAACTTCAGTCATGATTATGATTAGAGCTGCACGACTCTGGACGAATTGAGAATCACGATTTTTTTTCTTCAAATAGAAATCACGTTTCTAAATACGAACTTAAAGGGATACTCCACCCAAAAATGAAAATTCTGTCATCATTTACTCACCCTCAAGTTGTTGCAAACCTGTATGAGTTTCTTTCTTCTGCTGAACACAAAGGAAGATATTTTGAAGAACGATTGGAACCAAACAGTTGTGGGTCATCATTGGCTTCCATAGTATTTTTTTTTTCTACTATGGAAGTCAATGGTGCCAAAAAACTGTTTGGTTCCAATCGTTCTTCAAAATATCTTCCTTTGTGTTCAGCAGAAGAAAGAAACTCATACAGGTTTGGAACAACTTGAGGGTGAGTAAATTATGACAGTTTTTTCATTTTTGGGTGGAGTATTCCTTTAAAGCAACACTAAGTAAGATTTTTTTACCTTAAAATAATGTTTCCAAAATCGTTTCAGTGGTTCATTAAGTCGTAACAGGGTGAAAGGCACTTCTGGATTCGCTTTGCGGTCCTATATCTGCTATAACCACGCCATGTAAGATTACCAGATCGGGTCGCATTTCTGTAGTTCTAATGAGACATATTAAGAAAACTACAAATTTGACTTGCTTGATTGCATGTTGCATGATTTCATGAAAGTATGATGTATTGCGACATCAGAAACGAAGAAAACCAAAATAATGACTATTGTAACGCTTGACGTAAAGCGTTACAATAGTCATTATTTTGGTTTTCTTCGTTTCTGATGTCGCAATACATCATACTTTCATGAAATCATGCAACATACTCTACCTTGTCTGTGGACATCGTTCATTCCAAAGCCGGTGCTGGATAAACAACGAGTGTGCGTGCGACAGTAGGCTGCGGTATAGGCTAAATTATTTACGACAGTGGTTATGGACAATTCCGCTTCTAACCTGTAGGGCGACCGCAGAGGAAAGGTTACTTGTAGGCCATGAGACGGGACCCCAAATTTGGGCTACCGGTACCATATTGACGGATTACATTTCTTTTTGATTTTCATGAAGGTACACATCTCTAGTGTTGGAAAATGTGTGATAGCATGCGATCCATGGTAGCTTTCATTAGAAATCAACACTTATATCATCCTACCTCAAGGTAAGGTGTTCAGTGACTACAAGAGAGAAAAATGTATCCTTTTATAATTTTAAAAATTTCTAAAAAAAATATATAATTTTTTTATTATAAAAATTTACGAAATTTTATAAAATTATATAAAACTTTATAAAAATTTTATAAAATTTATTTAAAGATAAATAAATAAATGTATCCTTTTTCTTGACATATGTTTGAAAATCGTCCTCCGTAACCAAAAACTACCTTGAATCTAATGCTATCACACATTTTTCAAATACAGGGTCATATACCTACACAAAAATCGGTTTAATCCCTCAAAATGGTACCAATCAACCCTCTGTCTCATGGCCTATTGGTGTTGCTTCAATAAAATAACGTAGTTTACTGGAGGTTCTGACAAAATGTTAATCGCTGCAGTCTATTTATAATGTTTAATTACTTTGAATGAATTTTTTTTTAAATCGGTTTGAATGAATGATTCAGTGACTCACTCATAAATACTTCTTGTTTCATTACTGGATGAATCAGTGTTTTTGAATGAACCTCTTGAATGAATGATTCAATGACAAATACATTTTTTAACAGTCACTTGTCAATGTAATTGATACAATCGTTATTTGAAGCTCCAAGTTACTTTCAAAAGGTGATTTGCTCTGTTTCGATTGTTTCCGTAGACATCAGTGTTTATATCTGAACTATAAACATTTATCCCAGTAGTTCTGTGATAATATGAAAAATTGTTACACAGAAACGATGATACTGTGAAGCTGTTTCATATCTAATGTTTATAGACATAGGAAGGAGATCGCAGTAACGATGAATCGTGCAGCTGTAATTATGAATAAGTGATGATGCTAAATGAAATTTAGTAGAATATGAGTTAAAATAACACATTTCCACCTTAGTGTTGATAAAAGAGATGTCTGTGGGGTTAAATGAGACAAAAAGATTGGGAAACTTGCTTAGTCTATATGATATTGTTGCATTTATAGAGATCAAGCTAGTTAAACTGCAAATGTTCTCTAATTAAAAATGATTTAATATGAATTACTAGCAATTAAGTAAAGATTAAGTTATAATAACTGTTACGTTTCCGATTATTTATGTGGTTACTAATAAAAAGACAAACATGAGATTGCAATAAGAGCCCTTGGCAAATGGACACAGATGGTTTTAATGGTGATGCTGATTGACGGAGCAGCTGATCTTGATCCCCGATGTCCCTGACCCTTTGATAAAGATGACACATGTCAACGGACAGTCATGCATTTCACTCAAGGACTTCATTGACTTGCAAACCCCACGCAGTAGTATCTTTTCCCCTACACCGCATCCAAAAACCAACATTATACGCCATTTGGAAATCTTTGTTTTCCGTATTCTGTTCTTTTACTTCGTTTTGTTGCATTTAAATCACTTTCTCACCCTTTTTTTTAATCTCTCTTCCTGAATTGTGTGATAGTGGGCAGTCGTCGTAGACTTTGCGTGGGCAAGCACCAGTGTAAACAAACCTGAAACATTGTTCATACCAACTGAGCTGACTCATATCTGACACACAAATACTGTCATCTGTTCACAGTTTACTGGAAAACCTAGCTATACATTGCATGAATATAAATCACTGGTGTATAGGACAGTATTTTGCTTCTGTGAAAAGTATGACTAAATATGGGGTGACTGTACTGTATACGGGATTGAACTGCAGATTCATAAATCACTTTTACTGTATGTAGTCAAATGGTGTTGTAAAGTAGGTCATTGTAGTGTATTGGAGCGAGTGGAGTTACATGAGATGGCATTTTTTGGATAAACTTTATTTTAAGGTGTCCGTGTTACAGGGATAGTTCACCCACAAATTTAAATTCTGTCCAGGAAGAAGATTATCCCCAGAAACACAGAAAACTGGGAGAGGAGACACTAAAGGGATTGTTCACCCAAAAATGAAAATTCTGTCATCATTTGCTCACCCTCAAGTTGTTCTAAACCTGTATGAGTTTCTTTCTTCTGTTGAACACAAATTAAGATATTTTGAAGAATGTTAGGAACCAGACAGTTGACGGCACCCATTGACTTCCATAGTAGAAAAAAAAATAAAAAATGTCTACCTTCGACTCCGCTGAACCTCGGTGTCTCTGTGGATCTTTTAACACCTTCCCCTGTTAGTGAGGGTGTTGCAGTCTGGATTTTGCTGTGCTTCTTCTGCACTTCTGGACTCTGGTTTGCCTTTAGTTATGTCTGCGACTCAACTTTACAGCTGTAAACAAATCCTGTGCTGGTGTAATATGCATTTTCAGCAGACACTTTTTGATCTCATTCGCGGTTCTTTTATCTCAAAGTTGTCATTTTCTTGTGTTCTCCAAGAAACATTATCAGTTGTCATATTACATTCCATACGGATGCATCCATGGATCCCATCCTGTCTCTCCATTAAAGGAATCGTTCACCCAAAAAGGGAAATTCTGTGATTCTGAATCATTCGAATAGTTCGGGATGACATGAACTATTCCTTTAACGCCCTCTTCTCTGTCATTGTGTTTCAGGTTGCTGTTTCTTTGTGTCATTTGTTGCCTTTTTTATTGTTTATTTCTTTTTTTATGTGACCTCTTTGTTTTGCAGATGAGGGCAGAAGTGCAGTTGACGCAGCGGGTGGTGCTCAGATAGTTGCCGAGCACATTAAGTCTCTGGCCCAAAGCACTGACCCGGCCACCGGGAAGCTCTTGACTGTCTTTTGTGGCATGCTGATGAACTATAGCAATGATAATGGTAATGACCGATCCCCCAAACCAAGAAGGCGATATTTTTGAATGGTCCCTTATTGGTATAGTCTGAGATGTTCACTTAATGATTCACATGTTAATCAGTTCTACATGGATATGACAACTTTTATCTCATTCTCTATAAAATAGGCATGCACATTTTGATTTTCTGACTAGCACAGTTATACCTCACGGTTGAACATTAATGGTAATATCTGTAGGGGACCACTCTAAGAAAGCCTGTTTCACTTCTCTTATTTATTCTGAATCTAATGTCTTTCACTGATTTGACATGATAGGTTTACTAAATGGCTACATTTCGCTGCTTTGATCGGTGACTAGATTCGATGTCCTTTGCTGCTGCTGTTGGTGGTGTTAATGTTTAGTAATGTTGTGACTTCAGCTATCTCAAATTTTTTATTCACCATCCCTAATAAATATTGTCTAATTTTGCCACTTTCCGTACATAGACTAAATGCAAAAATACAGTATGGGCCAAAAGTGATGTTCTGAGGGGATATTTGTTTGTTTTTTTGTGACCTTATAAGTTCATTTAAATTATAAATAAATACTTTTAAACATGAAGGAAAAGCTAAACAAACTTGTTTGAGGGGGCATTTATTTGGAAAAATTACAGTGCGTGCATAATTATTATGCAAGTCGATATTCTGATCATATATTTTTTTCCAAGCACATTTTTCCAATTCCGAACCACATCAATTTTAATAACTATGATTCATTTAGTATATAATCATTTATTTATACAAGTGATATATAATTTTTGAAAAACATCTTGTATTCAGATAATTATAATTATATATATAATATATAATCATAATTATTAAACAGGTTTTCTTTTACTGGTAAAACGGGCCAAAAAAGAGATTTAAGTCGCATTGAAAAGTCATAAATTATTAAATGCCCATGAGAAGGATGCAATACTAATGCAATACTAGAAATTCCAAAATGATATCACTTATAAATGATTATATACAAAATTAATAATAGTTATTAAGATTGATGTAGTTTGGAATTGGTCAAATGTTCTCGGAAAAAAATATGATCAGAATATCGACAAAAAAAGCCAAACTTTACTATTAAAAAAATGCATAGAAAGCAGAAAGCTCACAGGAAAAAGCATACATTAACTGCAACATAATCCGATATTAATATTTTGTTGGTTCTCTCTTGTTTTTACATGTGTTTATAATTTCTTTGTATGACAGCCTGGCCAAAAATGATTGACTCCAAGCACAACTACGCAATAATCTTTAGCAAATTTAAATAATATTTGAATAAAGGGTGAAGGTGTCACTTTTCCTAGGCCGGACATCACTTTTTGCCACTACTGTAAACGATTAAAAATGATTTTAATATTATTTATTTAAAAAATTGTTTAATAAGAAATACATTTTTAATTTAAAAACATGATTTAAAATGTTTAATTTTGACTTTAATTTTAAAAGTAGCTGTGTTTTCTGACCAAAAAATGAAATTCTCTATGCATAAAAAATGCAAACATTTCATTGGCACGTTCTTGTGGTTCCATCAACAATCAGTCCTCTTGATAAGAGAAGGCAGCATGCAGGTTTTCTGTTTAGTAATGCTAAATGCGCCAGCCGAGCAACTGCCATTGATATGAATGGAAATAGATTTCCACCAGGTTTGGACTGCTTAAACAAACAAGCAATGTTTTGATTCGCTCTGCATTTTAGACTAGAATTTTAACATTGAAAAAATGACATACTTCACCTTTAAAAGAAAAGTTCAGTGGGATGTATTATTGGGACACAAGTAAACACATTGTACAGTTTCGAGTGTCCGTATCAGTTGTAAAATGCCCAGGAGGTTACATAAGGCTCTGGCCTTGTGTTTTGCAGCAATGCAGTGCATTGTTGAAATATTTAAGGGAATGCAGGCAGTGTATTTACATCTCTGTGACTTGATGTCCTTGAATAATTGATGGACAGGCCAAGCGCCGCTCCCTTCATCCCTGTTTGCCAGCAAGGCTTGAAATGGTAATAGCTTTTTTTTCGATCTTTTACACCTCGCATCCAGAGGCTAGTGCAAATCAACAAATTTAGCTCAGGCATTTTCGTTTTCGGTGTCCTGATGAAAATAAATGGTCAGAAATGAATTTAATGGAAGAGAACAGCCAGTGGGCTGTTTATTATCGCTGATATCACACTCATGCTGTTTTGAACCACGGCCTTTTTCTTTCTCTCATCTCTGTTTCACTCAAATGTTGTCTTGTAACAGATTGCGTTTCCTTGCAAAGTCTATCTGTTCTAACTTAAAGCCTGTCATCATATTTACTAAGCCACCAAGATAAATGACTCATCTAATCACATAAGCTTAGCACTTTGGGATTTTTTTTTTTTTTTCACATGGGAAAAGACTTTACATGCCTGGTCAGACATTACACTTGTCTTGCATAGCTGTAACCAAAAATACTCACTGAGCTGCAATGTCCCTTTTTTTATACCCTTGTGAAAAAGAAGTGCGCTTTAGCATACTTTTAAAGGGATAGTTCACTTTGAAATAAATTTTTGGTATGTTTTAGCTTACCTCAAGGGCATCCAAGATGTAGGCGTCTTTCTTTCTGCAGTAGTTTCAATTTTGATATTTTTAGGTCAAACCGTTCTTGTCTGTCAGTCATATAATGCAGGTCTATGGTCACCGCCTCAAAGAGCATGCACAGAGAAGTCCAAATTAAACATGATTTAATGACTCGTAAATGTAAGTACACATTGATGGCCTAAGACACGAAACGAGCGGTTTGTGTGAGAAAACGAACAGTATTTATATCGTTTTTACCTCTTGTAAACACAGCCACGTCCAAGTGATCTGAGGGCGCGGGCGCTTCGGTCTGTGCGTTACAAGAGGTAAAAACGATATCTATTTGTATTTGTTGAAATAGCTGTTAGTGTATATAATCTATTTTAGCATGACTGACAGGCTGTATTGACCAATCAGCATCCAGTAGTGGAAGTGTACCTTTAATTGTATGCATTTTTGCATTGTTTATATTGTGAAGAATATATGCAGAGTCACTAGTTATGCAGTTCTTCTCTTTAATCGAGTCTGTGATGGCTGAATTTTGCTGTTTGTGCACTCTCAGTGTTATAGCCCTCCGCACCGCTGGGAAGTTAAGCTTTTAAATCTCGCTTGAGATGCAAACACTTCATAGTTCTTTTAGGAAACATGACTCATGAGCTCTGCTGGTCGCTGGTTGACATTTCTCTGACGTGATTTGGGCTTCGATTACTGGCAAGAGTTCCTCAATGATTTCTGGCTTGCGTCCAGTTCTGCCAAGGCTTGTTATGTTGTGTTTCTCATTTGATACATTCTCCCAGTAGAAGTTGCTTAAATATTCCTCTTGCTCAGACCAGCAAAGCTTCTGTGGTGGATAAAGCGAATAACAGGAAATTATATAGTAGGGCAGAAGCATTTCGGACTGTCAACTGTTTGTTAAATGTGATGAAGGGACTGTTTCATAAATGTTTTAAAGTGCCTTATACTCTTTCTTCAACTCATACTCAATAACATTTTTCTCCTTTGTCAACTGCGGATCTTTTCCTCTGCCTGGACTGTCTTCTTAACACTGCTCTGCTGTCTCAGCTGCCATCTCCTCTTTGCTTCATTGAATTTACTGATCAACATCTGCTTCCTGACAAATCCATGGCATCAGATGTGTGCCGGTGCCGCCCACATTTGGTGTGTCACAGAGACATTTCTAGACAAACTGAAACATCTTTGAACCGGCAACTTGAGGGCTTACTTTTAACAGCAATGCAAAATTTGACTGTTATTAAAAGTAAACAAGACATAAAATGATACATTTAGTGAACTTTATGATTAAAATAAGTAGTGGTCGACTGATATGGATTTTTTGATGGCCAAAACTGATATATTAGAGAGCAGGATGGCCGATATAAAGCCTATATGAAATTACACTATTTAATTTATTTAACATGCATAAAAATTGCTTGATTTTTTTTATTTAATTTACATATTTGTTAAATTATAAATAATTATAATATGAGTCAATATGAAAAAAATTAACAAAAATAAATCTGTAAAATAATAAACAGATTTATGCTTTAGCAGCTTCTTGATTCTGTAATTCACAAATAAAGAAATCGTTAAAAAGGATACACTGCAACCAACAGGGCACTCAGTAATCTGGTGAAAGTACATTTTTTTCAAATAAAGAGAAGGTAATGCTAATTTTACATGCAGTACACATATGAGATGTATGTGAAAGCAGCAAACTGGATATAGCACAGCGTTTAAAGTTAATTACCGTAATCATGAGATTCAGAATTATGTATTTCTATGGTAACACTGTCAATGCCAAAATGAATCCACAGCGGTCATGTGTTACAAGTCGGAGCTCTCCGAAAATTGTAATTGTAATTACGAGTTCTAGGAGGACGTGAGCGCTTTTACAAGTCAGAATCTCGTAATTACGGTAATTACTGAATGGCACGAACGAACCTGGGGGCTTTGGCGTTCTTAGCATTGTCAAAATAAAAGTCCAACTGCTGTCAAAATAAAAGCTACTTCTGACACTTATCTGTCAAACAATAAAACTTATGCCAATAATTTAGAGATGTAAAATATCTGCCTTGATGGTATATCAATCGGCCACTACAAATAATTCAAATATCTGCCAAAATACACCCATAAAAGGTATTCTCTAAAATGGATCATGAAATGTTACGCAAGCTTGATTCTCAGGTAGATTTATTTGTTCTAAAGACATTTAGATATTTCTGCTGGAGAACAAGTGTGATTGAGCACAGGGAGAGGGACCTGTGCTTGTGCATGAAAAGTGATGGCTTAGCAGTCCTTTGTTCCACTGTGGTCTTGATTTATCGTTCACATTTTCAGGTCGAGACTATATATTTTCTGGGCTAGTCTCTGTAAAGCACTCTACAAAAATGAAATGTCAGAGCGTTATATAATGTGGCTGCGTTTTACATACTGCCGGTATTACTTTGATCTGGTGAATGGGCTCTTTTAATCTACAGCTTCACACACACAATTGCAGGATGTAAACTGTGATGAAATCACTCATAACAAGTGAGAAAATATTTGTGAATTTTTCATTTTCATGCCTTTATTTATTTTTAAGCAACGGATTTTTGAAAGGCTTGCTGAAGAAATCAAGTCATGTACATAAAATACATGATAATTAAAAACAAAAGAATAATTATTGGAAAACCTGCTCAAAATATAGTTTAGATGTACATTACTGGTAAATGTGCACCTTCAGTTAAACCAAAATAAAATGTTTTGGGTACAATAAAAATTTTTTTGTTACCTTTTTAATTTAAACAGTTTTTATATTTTTATATAGCTTTTAAATATTTTTTTTTTTCTGTTTTAGTCATTTTAGTTCTTAAACTTCTTTATTTCAGTTAGTGTTTTATATATTTTTAATGTAATATTACATTTTATTTTATTTCAACTTTATATAAATTACGTTTTTTAATAGTTTTAAGTTTAAGGGTACATTTACACGATAACGATGTACTAAAAACAGAAACGTTTTTCTTTTGCGTTTTTCGCATACAGATGTTGTCAAATAATTCCCGTCCACATGGATCAGCTAAAACGAATAAAATCGCTGTATTATTCATGCCAGGCCAGTAGTTGGCGATGTCACTTTGTAAAGAAACTATGCGCCTATAGACAACACGTACGGTATATGTTTGCTAGGGGTGTAACGGTACACAAAAATCACGGTTCGGTACGTACCTCGGTTTTAAAGTCACGGTTCGGTACGTTTTCGATACAGCAAAAAGAAAGAAATGCCAGAGAAATTTCCTATTTGTTAAAAGAAAAAATATTTTTAAATAACTGAGTTTTCCTACATCTTGAAACTTTCAGGTTTATAAATTGGGGTCATCTTTGAAGGATGAAAAAATAATGTTTTGATCATCACATTAAAAATAACATTTAAATATATATTTATTTATATATTATTTGAGTTTTGAAGTGCTGGAAAAAGATGTGTGAAGTACTTGAAAGCATTTCACTATTCCAGCCAAACTGGTTATAGTTAGTGTTACTATATTAAATCTATGGTGAATGTTGCTGATCTGTGGACTTAAAGCCTATAACCGATCATTCACGGCACAATATTTCTCCTGGTTTCCACGTCAGCGCTGTTTGATCTAATAGTAATCTACGGTTAATAACGGAGAAATGTGAATGCTTCTCACTAGATCTCGCAGCGATGTTATTACTTCAGTGGCGAATTCAAATGTTTTCTTCACTGGATCTTAGCGCTGTGTTGTAACAGTGTCGCTTGATCGAGATCGGCTCGCGCTGCACAGTTGTTGCTGGTCCGAACTGATAAACGATCCGTGAAGCACAATATAATGAGTAGCGCAGTTTCGTTCCGCTTTCATTACGCTTGCCATTTGATGTTGCGCAACGTTGTGGTGGTCTCGCCAGGGCGGATTTTGTCGGCAGGAAAAATGGTCCAAGGAATCGTTCGGTTTGTATGCGTACCGAACCGGAAGCCTCGAACCGAAACGGTTCAATACGAATACATGTACCGTTACACCCCTAATGTTTGCGCATGACGTCACCGTTTTCACAAATTCACGTTTTTGTAGTTTACTCAGAGCCAATAATAGTATCGTTTTCAAAAACTTGCACTTTGAAATCCGTTTTCAAAAGTTAGCATTTTCAGTCCCCCAAAACATTGTTTTTGTGTAAATGAACGGCCAAAGCGCATAAAAGTTTTCAATTTTTAGTTGAAACCGTGTTGTGTAAACAGCCCCATAATTTTACTTTTAATTAACAATAACAACACTTAGGAAAACATTTGACAGTGCTGGTTAATAGCAAGTTATCACGGTTTTATTCATTGTAAAATTCACATTATTGTCTGTGACATTTTGACTGAACATATCGCTGCCGTTGTACACTGTCATGAGAAAAGACAGACAAACAAGTTGAGATTTTTCATTATTATTATTATGATGATGATGATGATGATGTTTGGGGATAATCAATTTTCTTGCAATGTAATTAGCAGAATAATGATGAATACTGGACTTTAACTATCAGTAAAAATGCTGTTATATTATCAAATCTGCATGAACTAGAGTACAGCAAATCTCATGTGTTCTCTCTCCGCTCTAGACTCGCTGCAGGCCCAGTTGATCAGCATGGGTGTGATCCCAACACTGGTCAGACTGCTGGGTGTTCATTCTCAAAACACCGCGCTCACAGAGATGTGTCTCATTGCCTTTGGCAACTTGGCAGAGCTTGGTGAGTTACCGATTCAATTCAGTTTAATACTGTTTATTAGGACGTATTGGATAAAGTTAACACATCTCTTTTGACTGATTTTCAAACAGAGTCCAGTAAGGAGCAGTTCGCCTCTACAAATATTGCCGAGGAGCTGGTCCGGCTCTTCCGTAAGCAGGTGGAACATGAGAAGAAGGAGATGATCTTTGAGGTGTTGGCACCACTTGCTGAGAATGGTGAGAATCACAGTGATTGACATTAAATAATGGTGAACACGAATGAACCAGTCTTTTATTAAAACACTTACAAAATGTACATTACAATTTTTGAGCATGGTACCAGGTTATTGTCATTATTCTTAAGTTTTTTTTTTTTTTTTTTTTTTTTTTTTTGATAAAAACTGATAAAGATTACCAGTATCCAAATACAAGACGGTTAGACTTTAAAAAAAAATGATGCAAGAAACCATCAACCAATGCTGATAAGTTGAACCAAAAACTGAACCTTTTAGTAATGTGGAGAACCATGCAAACACCACGATATATGATATGGTAATCATATAGCATTACTGTCCAGTGATGTGAGTAACGGCGTTATAAATAAACGGCGTTACTAACGGCGTTATCTTTTTCAGTAACGAGTAATCAAACGAATTACTGTTTCCCCCGTTACAACGCAGTTACCGTTACTGACAAAAAAAATGTGGCGTTACTATAATTGAACTCACTGAAGCGGTTTTCATCCGAGTAGGCTCTCTCCGCCATAGGACCTGCAAAGTTTTTTCTCTGGTGTGTGTGTGTGTGTGTGTGTGTGTGTGTGTGTGTGTGTGTGTGTGTGTGTGTGTGTGTGTGTGTGTGTGTGTGTGTGTGTGTGTGTGTGTGTGTGTGTGTGTGTGTGTGTGTGTGTGTGTGTGTGTGTGTGTGTGTGTGTGTGTGTGTTATTGAGGCGCCGGAGTGGACAAAAGCAAAGCGAACTGCGCGCTCAATGCGCGAGAGAGACCGAGTGTGTCCGAGAGCGCGCTCAACAGTTGCGCAAGAGAGACCGAGGGTGTCCGAGGAATATAGTTTGTTTATAAATAAATGACACATTTCAGCATTAGACAGCATTATCTATAGCCTATTGGTATCATCTGCAACGTTAATTAATTGACATGGTTATACAAATACAATCTAAAAAATAACCTACAGGGAACATTCTGTTTAGGTTATAAAATAAAACCCGAAAATAACCTGCAGGGATCATTCCCAGAAAACATCTTTGTTTGACCGGTTGTAAACACGTGCGGCAAACATGTCTAGAATTTGGCTTAAATAACCTCTGATGATGACGTTTGCTAAAAATAAACCCCCAAAATATTATATTTTAGTATTAGATATTTTTTTGTTGGTACATTGTTCAGTATTATATTGAGAGAGCACTTGTTAAACTGTTTACTTTTGTGAGGAATAAAATACTTTGGCTACAGTATGTCTACTAGTTGTGAAGTTGTGTAACAGTTTTATCATTTAATATGCACAAAGAGTATGTATATTTTTTATTATTATTGATTCATTTTTGGTACATTTCTTAAGAATCATAATTTATTTTTAAACTAATTTGTTGGCCAGTTGGGGTCTGTGCGATATTAAGCATAAACCATCTATAATGTTTTATTGTTCTACTATAGTAATGCTAATATTTAGAATAATTTATTGAATTTAATAGGCGTCTCTCACATTGTCACACAGCAACATTAAAATAGAATAAATTATCATTATAAAACATTGAACACTAATCTACACTATTAAGTGTCCATTTCATTAATTTAACATATTTAATACTGGGGGATCCAAATTATTTGACATAGCCCTATTTGAATTTTTATTTTTAAAGTAACGCAATAGTTACTTTCTCTGGTAATTAGTTACTTTTATAATGATGTAACTCAGTTACTATTTGTGAGAAGTAACTAGTAACTATAACTAATTACTTTTTTTAAGTAACATGCTCAACACTGTTACTGTCGGATACTCTCACTATATCTTATCACCACAGTATTTATTTGTAAAGCGGTGCCCTTTATCTTTATGTTTTGAAGGCGGACCACTGTTTTTAAAGTGCCTCTATTATGCTTTTTCGTATACTTTCATGCAGTGTGTAATATGGCTGTTTGTGAATGTAAAAGTTTTAAAGATCATAGTGCACAACAAATTAAGTTGTTGTCTCCTAAAAGAAAGAATTGATTCTGAACTTCCGAAACAAGTCGTCAGCAATTCCAGTCTCACTTCCGTGACATCTACGGAGGTTTGTAACTAATTAGCATAATGGCAGCCTATGGTCTTCATTGGTTGCCTGCGAACAACGTCTACTTTGACCCTCAAACACTGTCGTTTTTTCTGAGACTGGAAGAGTTTGGTTAATGTTGTCGACATGTTGATAAAACACATTTTTCTGCGCTGCAAAAGCAAATCCACTTTGCATACACTTTAAAAGAATGGTGACTCGCGCTGGAATTGATACGGAAAAATCGACGCCATCGTTACTGTTCTTATCACTGTGTATCAAGGGCTGAGGAAGATCCAGAGCTGAAATTCAGATAATGGTAATTAGCATTTTGTTTCAGACATGTGCAGTAAGTGGTAGACCAGTCACAACAGACTGAGCCATCTGATCAATCAGAGCAGAGTAGGCTCTCGGAAGGGAGGAGTTTGAGAGACCTAATTCTTTATCGAACCGTTTCAGACACTGAGAAAAGAGGTGATGCTGCAGTGTGTATATTATGAGACAATTAAACTGTTTTTTGAGCTTGGGTGCATGTAAACCTATTGTAGGAGACAAAATTAGGAACCTTTAAAATTGCATTATTGGGGCACTTAATTTCACAGTTGATATATTTCTGTTCCATAATTTCAATATGTGCATCAAAACAGCAAAGGTTAAGCTTCCAAGTTTAGTCATGCAGCGTTTGCTTTCAGCATGAGTTGAGGGACTGTAGTCGTTGATCAAGCTTGAATATAGATATGGATGTTGGCACGTTTCCCGCGGTAGACCCACTGACCCAGTGACTGAGAGACTTCAGCAGCCTCAAAGGCTTCTCCTCCCAGCTGTGAGCATGTTGTGTTACTTATATAGACAGTCATACTCTACCACCTGTTGTGGTTGGAAACAGGACACTTTATGAAATGAATGCATGTGTTTGCAGCTGTTAGCACAGAAATCTTGAGCATGAGCCAACAAGATTTTAAGTTCAAATTTCACTTTTAAAAATCACCAAATTTTACTTGTTTTCTTTTTTTATGTAAGCTGGAACATCAAAACCATCCCAGCTTTAGAGAGTGACATGCCTCATAATGCAAAGCCTTGCTAATTTGATAATGAAAATCATTCAAAATGCATTTTGCAAGACTCTGGCTATTGCTTTGGGTTGAGTCGCGAGAGAGAAAGCTACAATTAAGCAGATGCGTGAGATTTCTCGGCTGTTTGGATAATAAGTGTTATCATCACTTGTCTCCTCTGCCATTGCCGCATCCATCGTTTCCTCAAAATAGGGCTCTGGGGTCTGCTTAAAGCTGGGGTCTGGACTTGCTTATTTGAACGTAAATCCGCCCGCCACGGTCAGATGCTCTTTTTGTCTGTGAGCTCGTCTGAGGATTTGAAGTGACATTGAAATGTGCATTTGAAAGAAAGCTGTGTGTTTAGATGGTGAATCTTAATTGTTGAAGCGTGTGTTGGAGGGAAATAGTTTATTTGTTCTGTGAACAAGTGTTTCTGTTTGTGTATTTTTGATGCGTTGCAAAAACGTAGTGCCTTTGTCTTGTTTTAGAGCTACAACTTAAAACAAATCCTTAAATCCTTAAAACAAAATTAGTTTACCTTAGAAACAGAATTGCACACTAATTTCAGCCTTTTTTTCAGAGAATACATCTTGATGATTTTTTTTAAATGTTTTAAAATATTGTAGTTTCTTCTCGTTTAAAACACAAACATCAAGATGTTGTTAAATTTCGGCTTTATTTTAGTATATTTGCTATTATAATTTACATACTGTATATATATATTTTTTTAATGATTTTAGTTAACTATAATAACCCTGATTCTCCTAAAACAAGTCTTATTGTTTTGTTTTCAATTTTTATTTTCAAATAATAATAAAATTATGCAGATTAAGAAAGATATAATACGGTTTTATTCCATTTTCAGATTATTTCATTTGTTTTTAGGGTAAACGAGCAAGAATTTATTTAACAACCCTTTTTGCAGGTTACTGTATGAAAGTGAAAGAGTTTATCTCACAAGAAAATGTTATTTTATATATTGTTTTAATATTTTTGTTCTTTTATATTATTTTCTAATCTTAGTTATAAAATATAGTAAATATAGTTATATATTTTGAACTGTAAGAGTTCATGACTGTTCACATGAAAGAATAGAGCGTATGAGCGCGCGAGAGAGAGAGAGCAGGTGTGGGAGATGGAAAGCCGACAGCATTGAGAGCATGTGTGAAAGCGGCGCTTTGGTTGTTAGCATTCTGTGCACAGCGCCGCTATCCCATACTGCCAGTCTCCAAGACAACGGCCTACTTAGAGCCACTACACAGCACTACAGGCCAAGCTCTGTGAGTCACGTGGACCGCAGTGTGTGTGTGATATAGAGGGGGAAAGGGTGAGCTGCACTGTACCTGAACACTGCAGGCGTTTCATAACCAGCCAAATGCGTAGTGAGACGGCCATATGTCTGCGAAACAAGTCTGACCTCAGAAATCCATCCCTGCAAGATTTCCCCCCTGGGTTGTTGTGTCATTCGCCGACTGCATGAATCATCGATATTCCGTCAATTGGATTGTTATTCTGCATTTTTTTGGAATGCAAAAAAATAACGAATTATATTTGTTTATATTTTAGAAATTGTGTCGTGGTGTAACGTTCATTACATCACTGTGTCTGGTTTAGTATTTATGGGTCAGAGGATTATGTAATTCAGTCTATGTATTTGAAGGGGAAAACATGCATTTAAATGCACCAGATCTGGGTCTCAGTTTATGGTCTGAGATAGTTATCAACTGATATGCATTTTTAATTTTTAATTTCAGCGGTCGTTGCCAATTTCTAGCCAAATGGTTGGCCAATAAAGTGCTGATATATAGATGATGCAATTTAATGATATATAAATAATATAATGTTATGATAATAAATAAGATCATCCGTACACAGGGTTGCTAACAAAACAACTTTATTCAAACAAAATGTTATTTTTTTTATTTTATTTGATAAAAACATTAAAAACTGACCAAGATTATCCATAGACTGTTTTTAGACTTTGCAATGCTGATCATTGTTTAATATAATTTCATGATGGAAAATAAGATCGGATGTACACTAAGTTCCTAAAATCAAACAATATTTTATTTTATTATATAAAAATATTGAAAACTGACTGATTATCTATAGACAAGGCTCCTGTTAACCTAATATAAGGCTGATTTATACCACAAATAAGATCAGATGCATACTAAAGTGCTAAAATCAAACTAAATATTAAATTTTTTTATTTATTTCATAAAACATTTAAAACTAAAAATGGAAAATCATTATACATATACAAGTCTATATGTATTGCAACTTTTGATCTCACAATTCTGACTTTTTCTCAGAATTTAGTTTATATCTCACAATTCTGGCTTTATAACTCAAAATGTAGAGTTTACATCACAATTCTCAGAAAAAAGCCAGAATTGCAAATTGCAATTTATTTCTCACAATTTTGAGAAATAATGTCAAAATTGTGAGACATAAACTTGCAATTTGCAATTAAAAAAAGTCAGAAATATTTCTCTGCATTACAACTTTATATCTCACAAATTCAGACTTTATAACTTGCAATTGCGAGTTTGTCTTACCAGTGTTGCGAACTTAGCGACTTTGCCGCTCCATTTAGCAACATTTCAGACCCCTTTAGTGACTTTTTTTTCCAAAAAGGGCCAACCGACAAATCTAGCGACTTTTTTTTTGGTCAGACTCAGAATTTGCAAGAAAAAAGTCAGAATTGTGAGATGAAAAAGTCACGATTATCTTTTTATTATTTTTTTTAATTCTGTGGCAGAAACAAACTCACATCTAAGGCTGTTATTAGACTAAATGAATACAAGAAGCCATCAGCCAATTTTGGGAAGCTCAATTTAAATTCAGCATTTTCTACTTAAGTTCATTATAATGTCAGACTGGTTCTTAGACCAACAGGTTTTGGTTTGGTATCTGGGTCTTGGAGTTCGGGTTTAGCCTGAATCTGAGGTCAGTTTTAGTTTGGGTCTTAGGCCCCGTCCACACTACTGCGTTTTCGTTTAAAAACGGAGACCTTTTGCTACGTTTGCACCTCCGGAAAAAAACGAAGACCTAAAACGGAGAGGTTTAGAAACGCTGCAGCTCCGTTTTGCGTTTTGAATCTCCGGAGGGCGTTTTAGTGAAGACGGGACAAAACGGAGGACTTTAGAAACGATGACGCAGAGGCTCACGCTCGGCTCTATGATTGGGTGTCATCAGTCATGACGTATCCTTCCCTGATTCGTCAGCCACCCATCACATGTCAATCCGTTTCCTGTTTACACCGGCACGCGCATGCCCAGTGTTGGTGAATGGTCACGTGATCCGGGTTTTCAGGCGTTTTAATGTGGACGGAGATCAATTCTAATACGCAGATAAAACGCTGGTGTGGACGGAGATCGTATTCGTTTTAATTCTCCGTTTTTAAACGAAAACGCAGTAGTGTGGACGGGGCCTTAGGGTGTGTGTGTGATATTGGTCTGTGTCTGCCTGGTCTTGACTCTTAACCCTGATGTGCTAGCCTGGATGCCAGCCGAACTTAGCCCCGCCTACAACATTTGAGGAAGGGTGGTTCGGTGTGGACTTGATCCGTTGTGAAGCAAGTATGCCCGAACCAAAGCTGTTCGGACCAATCAAATTGTCAGGGCGGGCTTTATACGATGATAGACAGATTATCAACCATAACGTAATCATCTACGTCACCAAAGAGCGCTTGGGTTGAATTCGTTTACAACAAAGAATGGCTGCCGCTGGAGAATTTAGATGTGTAGATTCAGCCATCGCGTCTGTTATAGAAGATGTAGACAGCGCATTTATTTTAAAAGAGGAACAGAGAACCACGTTCAAGGCATTTGTCGATCCAATTGAGTTCAGAGGCATTTTCTTTCCTGGTTCGGTTGAAACACGCCCCATAATCACAGCCCAATGGAGCAGTATCAGACTCACATCCTGACTAGAATCCGTCAGGCTACTGATGTGCATCACTAGGATTTTAATATGGGCTGTGAAATCCCTGTTAGACATTAAGATGTTAATGAAGGTGTGCTGTGAAGGTTGCGATATAATAAGATCTGTCTCTTTCTCTCTCTCAGATGTGATCAAGCTTCAGTTGGTGGATGCTGGTTTGGTGGAGTGTCTTCTGGAGGTGGTGGCTCAGACGGTGGACAGCGACAGGGAGGAGGACGTGGCTCAGCTCAAGACGTCCTCGGACCTCATGGTCCTTCTGCTGTTGGGAGGTACAGGACCAAAACTTTGGCAGCACTTAAATAACCCTTAAATAAACAGTTTGAGGTACATGTTAAAAATTACGTCATTTTCTCAGCTTGAATAAAGCAAGCAGGGCCTTATAAAACTTAATGACATGGTGTCAAGCTATGACCTCATATTGTATGTATAATGAATGAAAATGTCTCTTTCCAAGAACGTTTTATATAGTTTCCCAGCAGTTATATAAGCTCATTATTGGCTATATAGGGATGCACGTCCTTTTACTTAGTAAAGGAAAGGGTGAAGTGAGGCCTTTCTGGCACGTTGTATTTTTCACTTCATCAATATTAAACACTAGCTGAATAAGTTGTGGGGTATTAAAATGACTTTCACTGAATGTATTGAAGACATTCATTTCTGAGACCTTTTCCAACCTCAGACACACTACCGTTCAAAAGTTTGGGGTTGGTACGTTTTTGTAATGTTTCTTATTATAAAATTGTGAAATATTTTTACAATTTAAAAATATCTCTTTTCTATTTGAATATTTTAAAATGTAATTTATTCCTGTGATGCAAAGCTGTATTTTCAGCCTCATTACTCCAGTCTTCAGTGTCACATGATCCTTCAGAAATCATTCTAATGCTCAAGAAACTAGAAATGTTATTATCAATGTTGAAAACAGTTGTGCTGGTTAATATTTTGTGAAAAAAAGAACAAAAAGAGTCAAGATTCTATAATGAATAATAGAAAGTTTAAAAGAACAGCATTTAGTTGAAATAGAAATATTTACTGTCAATTTTTATCAATTTAAATGCATCCTTGCTGAATACAAGTATTAATAAAAGAAAAAAATATTACTGACCACAACATTTTGAAGAGTAATGTATATTCTGTCATTACAAATATGATAATCATCCAGATTGTAAAGTGTGTTTTTCTCTCAGCTCGTCATTACAAAGAAGTCAGGAAGTTTTCTTGTTCACGTCCCATATCAGATTTATTAGCCATACTGCTATAAAAAGGAGACTAAAATAAGGTAAAAATGTGTTCAAAGATTTTTTTGATAGAATTTCCTTTGTTAAATCAACTTTTCACACCATTTTCTCTAACTCTGAGCATAGTTGAGCCAAACTCTCTGTTACAGGGCAGACCATAGTTTAAGAAACATGATTTACCTCAAAACTCAATTTTGGCAAAATGCTAATATGTATTGTCTTTTGTAGTGTGCCATAAGTTCACTGCACTTTCCGTTGAATAAAATTCCGTGATGTATTATCACAACCAGACGAAACCTAATACTGGTCCATTGAATAGTTTAACCTAGTTGGTCTCCATCTTAAAGGCATTGTAATTTGTCTCATTCTCTCATGTTACTGTATTTGTGTTGTGTTTGCAGTCATGTGTGATGTGTTTTCCTGTAGATGAGTCGATGCAGAAGCTGTTTGAGGGTGGTAAGGGCAGCGTGTTTCAGAGGGTTCTCTCATGGGTGCCCTCCAACAACCACCAGCTCCAGCTAGCGGGAGCGCTAGCCATCGCTAACTTTGCCCGTAATGGTAAGACCTCAGGCCTACAAGAACTTGGAGGATCGTGTGGTCACGGTGTTGAGATTGTGAATAAGTGTTTTTTTTGTGTGTGTGTGTGTGTACAGATGGAAACTGCATCCACATGGTAGACACTGGTATTGTACAGAAGCTTCTTGAGCTGTTAGACAGACATGTTGAAGAGGGGAACGTCACGGTGCAGCACGCCGCCCTCAGCGCTCTGAGGAACCTGGCCATTCCGGGTCAGTCTGAAATTTCACTCAATCCTCGAATGGTTCACCAACCTCTGCATAAGTGTCTTAAAACTAAATCTACGTCATTTCCCTTGTCTTCTCCAGTGGTCAACAAGTCTAAGATGCTCTTGGCTGGTGTGTCGGATGTAGTGCTGAAGTTCCTTAAATCCGAGATGCCACCAGTCCAGTTCAAGCTCCTGGGAACATTACGGATGCTCATCGACACACAGGGTATTTATTAACCGCCCACGATTCAGCGTTAAAATTACACACTTACCTTTAATTTAGACTATATATAAACTTAAAAACGGCATGAAATGTCGATTGACGTTTTCTTTTCTGTATTAACTACGATTTGCTGCTTGCTGTTGATGTTTTATTAGGGGGTGGGGCATTTCCATTCTAAAGAGAATTTGATTGGACACAAATGTGGCCACGACCATGAGTGCAGGATGTGTCATCAATTTTTTTGTTTTTGTTTTTCCTGAAAGAGAAAAACTGCATTCTAATGTTTGTCCCTGTTGTTACTATGAACTTAAAACTTTTAAAAATAATTTCGAAACAAACTGGGTACCCGGCTGGCCTGGCTTGCTGCCCAACCTGTTCGCGAGTTCGCTTCTATTTCAGTCATCAGTCGGCCGCCAAAGCCATATTTGATCGGTGAGTAGCCTAATGTAGACGACTGACTGCTGCGCTTGTGACAGGGTGCATGTTAACTGAAAGAAGGAACAGAGAGAGAGACCCGGCTGCGCGCGCACACTCAATTCACTCTTGCTCTCTCTCCCTCGCTCATATTAATCAAAATCAATAGACACGATGGTAAAAGGTCGGAAGACCGAAGTTTCACGTGGCGCAATTGGAAATTTATTTCCCGCTGTGTGTGAATTGTGCTAAAAAAACGTTGCTTTATCTTCTCTCAGGGCTTTCCCCACATTCAGCTGACATAACCACACTTTCAATAAAGGAAAAATCTATCCTAAAAAAACCTATTTGTTCTATGTTCGATGTTCTAACTGATGGGATAACCACACAATGCGTACACGTCCGCTAATGACGCGTCACTTTAATGAATGGTTAAAACAACTGATCTGTCCTCACGGGACTTCTGAATCGGTAACACAATATGGTTCCATTTATTAAAATCTAGTTAACTACATTAGTTAACATGAACTATTAATAAACTGCACGTCTGCGTCATTAATTCATATTTCTTAATGTCAATTTCACTATATAGCCTACATTATTGAAATCAAAAGTTGTATTTGTTAACATTAGTTAATGCACTGTGAAGTAACATGAACAAACAATTCATGTATGTTGTAAACTACGTAGTATTTTCAGGTTATTTATATTATAATGTGTAGAAACATTGCCAAAATAAATAATAATAATAATTTAGTTTAGACTGGAGTGAGGTGAAACCAGAAAAAAAGTGCAAAGCAAGTTGTTATCTAGCAGCCATTTTTGTTATTTAATTAAAAAAAAAAAGTATCTGGCAGCTAATTCTATTAAATTTTACAGTATATGGTAGAAAATTAGACTTAAATAAACTTTTTAATGCTTCGTTTTTATTCTACTTTTTGATATTGATATGATTATACCAAAACAATTATCAGGTCCAGCAAAGAAGTATTTTATGTTAGAAAGCTATGAAATCAAGTGGTAAAATCAAAGCTTAAAAAAAAAGGAAAAAAAAAGGGGGCAAGAAAGGATAAGTGTCTGTCGGCCACCACCGAAGACCAATTTTGACATTATGGGGAAATGTAAGTTTGCGAAGATATTTCATTACTTTACTTGTCTCTATATACGCCACTACAGTTGCATCTTGAAGTCGTGATGGTATTAAAAAATATTGTGAAGGTATTAAAAGGTATTAAATTCATTTTAAGAATTTCTGTATATACCCTGGATATTTATTTGTATTTATATCATTATTTTAAGATGGGAAAACAAATTAGAAATGTTGCCTTTGCAACTAACCGAAATGAAATAAATTTAGGTTGATTACTAAAACTAAAACTGAAATAAAAAAATAAATTAAATCTAAATAGAAATATAAAAAAATGAGACAATTGACAAAAGCACATAATAAAAAAGACTCAAATATAATCTAAAATCAAGATGAAAACAAAATATAAGCTCAAAATAAATACTATAGTAGCATATAAATAATTCTAAAATAACGATGTAATTGTAACTTCAAATGTCTGTTAAAAAGTTAGCATTTAGATGGCCTCAGACTAACAGATATGAGCTAAAAGTCTTTATTCCATGGGTTTTTAATTCAAATGGATAAGCTTACAGATCACTGTATGGTTTACAGGTGTTTAGCTCAGTTAAAGACAGCATGTGTCATTTGATCTCAGACTCGTCCCAGCTGCCGCCGCACAGCAGCGAGTCTCTGATATTAAGTGAGCAGAGGATCGATGGCACTCTGTCATTTAAAAACGATGGATCTGCAGACAAGGGATCCGCCACGGATGAATTTGCATTGGCAGCAGTCCAGCCGTGTTAGCTTTCAGTGACAGCTTGGGTTTAAAATGAATATTCCTGGGTAAATAAACTTAAATACTGCTTAAGCTGTATCGACAGCGTCTTGTGACATGCTGGCAATTACCACAGGCTAGAAAACCACAAACACCTAGAAGACAAGAGAAGACATTTAAAATATCGAACTACCATGATGTTTAGAAAGTATAATAGGTAACATTTTACAATGAGGTTCAATTTGTTAACAGTTGGTGGTTAATGCAAGTATAATGAACTAACAGTGAACTGTTTTTTACAGCATTTATTAATCTAGGTTAATGTTCATTTATATCATTTTTCATTAGTAAATACGTTCATTCATAATACATTAATTGGTACAAAAAATATGTGAGTACATATTAGCCTTAATCAAGATTAATATATATTAATATTTTGAATTCGCTTTTATTTTTATTATTGTAAGGTTAATTTTTTTTGTGTGCTTTTGTCATTCTTTTTGTGTTTTCTAATATTTCTATTTAGCTTTTAACTTATTTTTATTTCAGTTTGTTTAAAAGAAATGTAGCACTTCTCCTTACACTTATTTTATTTCTGTTAACTTTTCATCTAATACTTATATTGTATTTCAGCTTTGTTTAAATTAATAAAAAGGTTTTTTTATAGTCTTACTTTGAGTTTTAATTCACAGTAGTAAAACTGATCCAGCTAAGAAATAGTTACTTTACAGTTAATTCATAACACCACCACCCCCCCCCCCCCCATTACTGTATATGCGTCTTCTGCTCTTTTTGCTTTTTGACAAACTGAGGGGGATGAGTTTTCACAGGCATGATGTATTATATTATATTTAACACCAGAATATGCCTTTAAGAGGAATGTGCCTTAAAAGATCTACATCAGCATATCTTAGATGTTCAAATGTAGCTTCATAAAGTATTAAAGCCACAAAGTAGCTCTTCCTTGAATTTTTTCCTGGAAAACCACAGTCCTTAAATCTTCTCTTAGGTTAACAACACCCAGTTTATAAGCGCTTCCCATTACAAGTTTGTGAAGATGGTTGTCGAATGCTGTGTTTCCATTGACGCATCATGGCCATACTCCAGGATGACAATGTCAAGATTCATCAGGCTCAAATTGTGAAAGAATAGTTGGGAGGAGGAGCATGAAGAATCATTTTCACACATGAATTGGCACCTCTGAGTCCAGACCTTAAATTCATTGAAAGTCTTTGGGATGTGCTGGAGGAGACTTTACAGAGTGCTGGACTCTTGCATTGTCAATACAAGATCTTGACCAAAACTTAATGCATCTCTTGATTGAAATAAATGTTGTGATGTTATTTCCTTCAAGAGGTGCATCAGTTACATCCTGTAAAATGGCCATGATGGTTGTTTAAGAAATGAAAAGCTACACACTCCATCAGTTAGGGTTTGAAGAACTGTTGCCAAACATGTAACATGCTAGAAACATAATAATCACTGCAATAATGATCCAATCATAGACTTAAGCATTTGCCTATTTAAATCCAAACAGCGCCTTTGTGTGTGTGTGCGTGTGTGTGTGCCTGTGTGTGTGCGTGTGTGTGTGTGTGTGTGTGTGTGTGTGTGTGTGTGCGTGTGTGTGTGCGTGTGCGTGTGTGTGTGCGTGTGTGTGTGTGTGTGTGTTGCAGCATGTGCTCCACTGTGGTTTGTGTTGGCTAGATTATGTTCAGTGCTGTGTGTGTTGCAGCTGATGCAGCAGAGCAACTGGGGACAAACCCAAAGCTGGTGAAGCGTTTGGTGGAGTGGTGTGAAGCGAAAGACCACGCCGGAGTGATGGGAGAGTCCAACCGCCTGCTGTCCGCTCTCATACGACACAGCAAGTCAAAGGTCTCACACTCTTGCACTTCATTCTCTCTCTCATTCCAGTAGCTATGTTTCCATCCACATATTATTCCCTCCCAGTAGAGTCTCACATGATTGCGTTCCCAAACGCCAGGCATCCGAACACAGAAGAACAGCATTTATTGCATTTCGTCTGCACACTTTGAGGCACAAGTCATTGAAGATGTACGAAAAACAGCCACAGTGGCTTCCCCGATTGCAGCAACTTCCATTTTTAATGAGATATTTTGCACCAGTTTCCCAGGAAGTGACGATTTTGTACTTTTGAACACATGGGATGGAAATAGTGCTTTATTCACGAATGTTTTATGCAATATTCCAAATATTTGAGCTTAAGTTTGCAACTGTCGATGGAAACAGCTGGTGATGCTTTACTGATGTTGCAGCATTATTCCTAGACGTGCATCATCACACACCATATCCTGAGCAGGCTTGACACGACTAAAGCCAGGTGCACACTGTACGATTTATAATAGTCCTTTACGACTGTTGCTTGTCAGACTGTACGAACATGATCCCCCTGTACAGCAGTCAAGACTCGTTAAAAACCGGCGAAAAACAAGAAGACTCGTCCAGAGATTTACATCATCAATCCGTGACATGTTCAGTGACTGAGACTGCATTTACATGCGAGATAGAAATGGGGTATAGCTAACAAAAATAATCTCTAGATGAGTGGCAATCACGTTTTTTAATGTTGTGGTGTTTTTAATACGCTTTAAGACAAGTCAACACCATTGCGGAGTATTTTCTCCTTAAAACTGCAGTAAATCAAAGACGGTCTCAATAATGCGGTTTGAAATCGCCATTGTTCTCTATGTAACAAATATTTTGTAACCAATCACGTGCGGGAGGGGTTTAGTATATCATTAACTATGCGGCGAAGCAGGGGAGTCTCGAGAGAAGCCAGGTTATCCCGCTATATTTTTCTGTTGATATGAAAAATCAAGTACATATAGCAATATAGTGGGTGAATTAAAGGGATACTTCACCTCTGGAAAGATGAATGTGGATTTAAAATGGGTCATTAATGTAGAAGAAATGTGAAATTATTTTTAAATTTGGACTGGGAACTATATTCTCTGAAGGCGAAGCACTGCTACTTGGGCGGAGTGATAACCGCAGCACCTGAGACGCGTTGTGGTGAGGAGCAGAGAGCGCGTCTCAGGTGCTGCGGTTATCACTCCGCCCAAGTAGCAGTGCTTCGCCTTCAGAGAATATAGTTCCCAGTATTTATACGGTTAAAATATGTCTGTGTCTCATGTGACTTTGTTTTTTGTACACTCTGTGACTATACAAATCACAACATGTAAATAGAAAAATGTTTTGCGTTATTTTGTCACTTATTTGGATTAGTATGCTAGCTGCAACCATTTACATCCAGTCTTTGTGCTAAGCTAGGCTAGCGGTGGGTGCGTCAAACAGACTTATAGCACGCACGGAGATGAAAAAGGTATGTATGGACTTTTCTAACTCTGGGGGATAAGGTGAATAGGCTAAAGTCCCCAAAAGTCGGAGCGTTCCTTTAAATCTCTCGTCTCAGGGGGATATGAGGGTGGAAGGCACGGTATTCGAAAATACTACAGGTTTTCTACTAATACAAAGCTTAATGCTAAATCCTGAAGTATCCCTTTAAGTATGATTTTTATTATGATGTTATAATGAACTATATGCCTTTCTCTATAAGTTGTTCAAAGTGTTTCTAAGGATGCTGATTTTTAGAAGGCAGCTGTCTGACTCTGAGATGCGAACGGGAACATGGTTTGTGTAACATTAGCAACACATTATTAGCTGTTTGATAACGTAGTCAAACCAAAGGCTACTCGTATTAATTACCGTTATGCGTCCGACATTGTAGAGAGCGATACATAAAACGCATTACTATTCTGATACATCGACTTGCAGGCGAGTCTTTATAAATCGCTCTTTCACTTCTTCTTCTGAATCAGTTTCTGGTTCAAACATATATGGCTGAATTAAAACCAGCATTTCCACTTGCCGTTGTGCAGCGTTTACTATAGTAAATTTGACAGAGTGGATCAGGTATTCTGAGTTCACGTGAGTGAGTGGAGGCGGGGATAATTAGCATATTCATGAATCCGGGAATGCTAAATGAAGCAAGGGTGTAGAGTTACATTCAAGCCATTTTAAGACATGAATAATTTTATTGGTAGAAGAAAAGAAAAAAAGGTTAAATACGCTATTTTGGTGACCCAAGATGAGTTTTAAGGGATAAAATGACTACAGGGGGACTTTAATTTTCATCATCTTGAAAAGAAAATGAAAAAAAAAAAACGAAGACGTGTGTTTGGAGCAAATGGTGGTTTGTTGTTGTTTCACTTCAGGTTCTGCACTCCTATTGGTTTTTGATTCGACGGGTGTGTGTGTAGGAGAAGTCACACTACAGGACTGCGGCTCAAAACTTCTGACACTGCCAGAACTTCATCGGAAGTAATATTTGATCGCAATGGTCATTAATCGGCTGTCGGCGAACATGTTAAACTAACAATTAAAGACTTCAGATTTTGGCCTAGGATCAGAGGAATCTCTGCGGATTCACAATACTTGTTTCAGACGGCCAAATCGTGGCCAAATTGGTACAGTGTGAACCCGACTACAGCAGTAAATCTTTTGTTTTAACCGTCGACATGACTGCGACAAGGAATGCACAAAACATCTATTATGTCTGTGTATTAAACATCAAATATGCTCTGATTGGTTCTTATTATCTGGGTCATTGAGTCATGGTGTTGTATGAGAAATGGTACAGCAATTTCATTGGACTCACAACTTCGTACATCAAAGGAATTGTGTTATTGCAGCCAATTTTTCCATCAGGGATTCATGTCCTCTGGAAGCTTCTGACTGCTGTTTTTTCTTTCTGAATAGGATGTGGTCCGAACAGTCATACAAGGTGAAGGTGTTAAGCACTTGATAACCATGGCGACGAGTGAACACATGATCATGCAGAATGAAGCGCTGGTGGCCTTGGGTCTCATAGCAGCACTAGATCTGGGTAAAAATCAAATATTACTGTATGTTATATAAATCTGTGAAGAGACGCGCACACGCCTGAATGTCTTCAGCAGGGTGAATTCAACTGCACTGCAGTTTTATTTTAGTATTGTCGTCTATATGCTATTGTAGTTTGTATCTTTTAGTTTGATAGTTTCAGTTTTATATTTTAATTTTAGTTTAGTCTTTTTGTTATGCACTTTTCATTGATTGGTATTTCTATTTAGCTTGAATTTTTTGTTTACGTTTTATTAATTTTAGTACTTCAATTTGTTTCAAAACTTTAAATTGAAGTTTTTCATCTAATATTAATATTTTCTTTCAGCTTATTTCAACTACCAAAAATTCTTTAATAGTTTTAGTTAACAGTAACAACACTGGGTTACTTTTACTTTTAACAAAATTGGCAAAAGAGTCCAAATGTACATAAATTCACCTTATTTGAACACATTCAGAGTTTTTGCAGCATTTTGGTGTGGTTGATAGTCTAATTAAAATTCTGAAATCGCTAAACTTACAAACTAACTAATGCTTGTTTTAATTAAAATTGTGTAATGACATTTTTTTTACCGTGTATTTATCTTCCATCTTTCATGCATTTAAAGGGCTATATGTAAGAATTTTTATGTATTAATCACTTTTTTATCGTCAATGTGTGATCAGCTTGTAACGAAACTTAAAAAACGAGACCTTCCCCGATTTCCTAGGTTGTCTATGAAAGCCTGTAGACTGATTTTCGTGTGAAGGACTCGGGACAGTTTTTGCCAGGAAAATCAAAAGGATTTATGCGCGCACTGGAGAACCTCTCTTCTGTTCAATGACACATGAATGCTTAAACAACGTTCAGCATAATGCTGAAAGAGCTGTTCTGTACTGTGCTGTCAATGTGTCGTGCAAAGAAAAGGAATTCATACAAAATGTAATCTCACATAGCCAGATCTGTATACTCTCAAATATACTTTAATCAATTCAAACTATCATAACTAGGGCTGGGCAACGATTAATCACGATTAACCGCATCCAAAATAAAAGTTTGTGTTTACATAATATATGTGTGTGTAGTGTGTATAATTATTTTGTATATATAAATACACACAGATATTTATATTTTTTTATTACGTTTTTTATATATCTAATATTTGCATGTACCGGTATATACTTTATATATATTTATACATAATTAATATTATATATCAATATTTGATATATTAATAACACATGTTTCTTAATATATACATGCATGTGTGTGTATTTATATATACAAAATAATTATACTCACTACACCCACATATATTATGTAAACACAAACTTTTATTTTGGATGCGATTAATCGTTGCCCAGCCCTAATCATAACTGTAAGTTTAATTACCTGATCTGTCAACAATATTGCAGAGATGGGTTAAACATATCCACATCACTATGATCAAATGCTTTCTTTACTGCTGCTTTCTCACCGCTGTCATTAGGGCCCAAGCCTTGAAAAGGCGAAGGCCCTATTGTTTTCCTAAGGATTATTATTTATTATTATTATTATTATTATTATTATTTTACTACCTTTTGGGCACTTTTGGGGGCCTTAACGTGCTCGAAAACTCTTGAAACTTTGCACACATCTCAGAACCCGCGGCCATCAGGGCCGGGCTGAAGCTGGTACCCGGGCGTGGCAGGGGGGCTCGACAGCGCCCCCTGGAACGTGGTTTGAACACTTGCTCCATAAATCAAACACGCTTGCATGTAATAATATGAAACTCAGTACACATATAGATCTCATCGGTTCATATATACTTCATGCTCTTACTTTTTACCCCAGCCCAACAGGAAGTCGGCTATTAAGGGTTGTTTGGAAAACACATGCAATGGAATGTGAAATACTCCTCCTAGAGAATTCAAACACACGGCACGAAACTCGGTCAGCATGAAGTCAAGACACTGAGGATGAAAAATTGCCAGGGGATTTTTGATATCTCGAACGGTTTGGCCGTGGCGAGTAAACGAAATTATGGCGAGAAACGTGAAACAGGAAGTGTGTTATAACTACTGCATACATTAACTAATCTTGATGAAACTTCAGCAGTGTGTTCGTTGTAAGAGCCCGATCACATGGATGTGACTATTGTGAGTCAAAGTTATAGCGCCACCAACTGGCAGCAGGAAGTGTGTCACTTTCAAAATGCTTTTAAATCACCCTCTTATTTTTACCCGATTTGCTTCAAACTTCATGTGCATAATGTAGACACACGCCAGATGTAGACCTGTGAAAGGATTATTGATATCTTAGATACTGTTGCCATGGCAATGCATCAAACATTAATATTCCTTTTTTTAAGCTTTTTCATGCTTTTTTATGCTTTCGGGCACTTTTGGGGTTCTTAACGTGCTCGAAAACTCTTGAAACTTTGCACACGGGACAAAACCCGCGGCCATCAGGGCCAGGCTGAAGCTGGTACCCGGGCGTGGCAGGGGGGCTCGACAGCGCCCCCTTGAACGGGTCAGACAATTTGGTCCATATATCCAACACGCTTTACCCTATTTGCTTCAAACTTGATGTGTATAATGTAGACACAAGCCAGATGTAGACCTGTGAAAGGATTGTTGATATCTTAGATGCTGTTGCCGTGACAACGCATCAAACTTTAATATTCTTTTTGGATACTTTTGAGATTCTTAGCGCACTTTTGGGGCCCTTAACATGCTCAAAAACTCTTGAAACTTTGCACACGGGTCAGAAACCGCGGCCATCAGGGCCGGGCTGAAGCTGGTACCCGGGCGTGGCAGGGGGGCTCGACAGCGCCCCCTGGAACGGGGTCCGAAAACTTGGTCCATAAATCAAACAGGCTTTACCCGATTTGCTTCAAACTTGATGTGTATAATGTAGACACACGCCAGATGTAGACCTGTGAAAGGATTGTTGATATCTTAGATGCTGTTGCCGTGACAACGCATCAAACTTTAATATTCTTTTTGGATACTTTTGAGACTCTCAGCGCACTTTTGGGGCCCTTAACATGCTCAAAAACTCTTGAAACTTTGCACACGGGTCAGAACCCGCGGCCATCAGGGCCGGGCTGAAGCTGGTACCCGGGCGTGGCAGGGGGGCTCGACAGCGCCCCCTGGAACAGGGTCCAAAAACTTGGTCCATAAATCAAACACGCTTGAATGTAATAATATGAAACTCGGTACACATATAGATCTCATCGATTCATATATCCTTTGTACTTTTACTTTTTACCCCAGCCCAACAGGAAGTCGGCTATTATGGTTTGTTTGGAAGCGTATGCCCCTGGAATTCGATATACTCCTCCTAGAGAATTCAACCAATCGCCACGAAACTCGGTCAGCATGAAGTCAAGACATTGAGGATGAAAAGTTGCAAGGGGATTTTTGATATCTCGAACGGTTTGGCCGTGGCGAGGAAACGAATTTATGGCGAATAAAGGAAACAGGAAGTGTGTTATAACTTCTGCATACATTAACTGATCTTGATGAAACTTCAGCAGTGTGTTCGCTGTAAGAGTCCGATCACATGGATGTGACTATTGTGAGTCAAAGTTATAGCGCCACCAACTGGCAGCAGGAAGTGTGTCACTTCCTAAAGGCTTTGAAATCACCCTCTTATTTTTACCCAATTTGCTTCAAACTTTATGTGTATAATGTAGACACACGGCAGATGTAGACCTGAGAAAGGATTATTGATATCTTAGATACTGTTGCCGTGGCAACGCATCAAACTTTATTATTCTTTGTTGATGCTTTTGAGACTCTTAACATACTTGAAATTGCATGAAACCCGACAGACACATCACATTTATTAGACAGTAGACATGTGCAGAGTTTCAGAAACGGGCATGGTGAGAGCAATTAGAGAATAATGTTTAAGTTTAAAAACAGCCAGAATGGTTGTTTAGTCAAAAATTTTTTTTTTCCAAATCATACATAGTGTTATACTGCCCTCTTGTGTTCAAAATCAGGTAAAAAGCGAAAGTAAAATAAGGACGTCTGCACAATTCATTAATAATGGTGCAGAGTAGAGTGAGCTTTTTCAATTAATTCCTATGGAAGTAGGAATGAACTAAACAACGTTCGCTCTGTTCTGCTCGTCCCTCACCGTGGGCGCGCAGAGTTATGAATGCCCGTGCAGCCGTGAGCATTTTAGTTTCATTTTAAAATTAGCGCCATTTCGGGGGACGTATTACTTTAATTTATTTAACAAAAACACAATGTTGTGTTTTATTGCGAGTGTACACAAATATAAGTAAACACTTTGACGTTTGAATGATGTCCTGTATGAAGAAAATGACGGAGTATGTTTCACTGTTCAATCGCGCTGAGCCACCCAGACCCCCACACACACACTGACACACACACACACACACACACACACACACACAAACACACACACACACACACACACAATAATAAAACATTCAACCTAACATATACAAATTACACTGCTATGTTGAAATAGTCAGTAGTACAATTTGTATCATTCACAGTAAGCACCGCTCCACTGTGATTTTTCCAAGCACATTTTTGCACAAGTGAAGAGGATGATTTTTTCCGTCGATATTGGAACGTGAGTGAAGTACAAAGCCTGTAATAAAGAATAGTTTAGCATCCAAATACATCGCAAATGTTGCAACATTTAGATTCTAAAGAGAGATTTACGTGAGCCTAACACCACTTACTTTTACTTTTGTTTTAAATTATTTGGTTTTGGCTTTATTATAGTTATTTTTTTATTCGTGTTTTGTTCTGAATATCATTAAATTTAAAGGATTTGTTGTGGAATATTTTGAGTGTATAATCAAATAACACTAAACCGTCACTAGGTGTCGCCAGGCGACCGTCTTAATGAGCGGGTCATTGATTCATTCGTTCAAACGATTCGTTTGAACGACTGAGTCATTCATGAATGAGACAGATGTTTATGGATTGGTCATTGAATCTTTGAGTCAACCAATTTGTTCAAAATGCTGAATCATTCAGTAATGAGAAAACACGTTGCTGTGAGATGCAATGGTTCTGCTGTGATCTTTGTTTAACTATTTTCGCTGCTGAAACAGAAGAACAGTCAACATTGCATCTAAAATGTAAGTGACTTGACACGTGTGTGTGTGTGTGTGTGTGTGTGTGTGTGTGTGTGTGTGTGTGTGTGTGTGTGTGTGTGTGTGCGTGTGAGTGCGTGCGTGCGTGTGAGTGCGTGCGTGCGTGTGTGTGTGTGTGTGTGTGTGTGTGTGTGTGTGCAATCAATCCCAGGTAAGAGGCATGAATAATGAGAATTGGACTTCTAGGAGTGAGGTTAAAATTCCGGAGACGGTTCCCTCGGATTGTGAAAAGGAGGCGGCGCGGGAGTGGCCAGGCATTGCGCTACTTCTGTTTCAAAGTTTAAAACAATGCTAATATCATTTTTTTGAACGATTTCATTACAAATGTTTATTTTATATATTTATAAAATATTATAAAATATAATAACTATGTTTTGTCCTATTAACAAAAGACAGGCAATGTACTATTAACAAATGTTAATAGTTTTTTAAAAGTTAAAATGATACTTTATGCATTTGTTTTGTGTCAGATGATTAACAATATAAATTAAACAAAGCTTAAAACAAACAAAATAATAAAACGAAAACAAAGCTTGAACATTTTATTTAATTGAAAAGCCTTTTTGAAATAAAATGTGTTTTTTTCCCTCTGAAATAGCAAAAGCATCGCACACTTAGCTGTACCTGCTCTAAATAAATAATAGTATTTAAATAAAAATACAAAATCGAAATAAATAAATTATATAAAACAAAATAAAATCAAAGAAAATAAATCTTATTAAAGTTATGCAGGCACACATTTAACAATAATTTTCAAGTGACAAATAAAATCAATCAAAATTCCTTACACATGGAGTTAATCCTGACGATTCCTGAGGCGCCTTTCCTCATGACACTCGCTTTTTTTTTCGAAGATATATTTTCTTTGGTTTGATTTTGTTTTTGTAATAATTTATTTTATTTAGTTCGATTTTGTATTTTTATTGAATTACTATTTTTTATTTAGAGCAGGTACAGCTAGTGTGTGATGCTTTTGCTATTTCAGAGGAAAACAATAATTTTATTTAATTAATAATTTTTGTTTCAGTCCACCATATAATTATGTTGTGTTTGATCTATGGAAAAAAGTTAGTTGTGAAATGGTTGAATATTAACAAAAGTTAATAGTTTTTTACAAGTTAGAATAATACGATATATATATATATAAACAAGCCGGTGGCACCGCCACCCCGGTGCCTTTAGGGTTACTGTGCATGACGGGCAATATCGTAACTCCGCTTTGACCTTTGAGAAGATGTGTGCTATAGAGCTTGCATTGGTGTGGGCTCTGCAAAAGTGTGTGTGTGTGTGTGAGGCGTGATTGAACAATGTAGACATATATATATATATATATAAAGGCACCGGGGTGGCGGTGCCACCGGCTTGTTTATATATATATATATATATATATATATATATATATATATATATATATATATATATATATGAATATAGCTGCGAGCAGCGATGAAGGGCCAAAGCCGGCGGCACCGCCACTCCGGTGCCTTTAGGTAACTAAAGGCACCGGGGTTGCGGTGCCACCGGCTTGGGCCCGTAATCGCTGCTCGCAGCTATATTTTATTTATTTATTATTTTTATTTTGTTAATGAGAGGAAAGCGAGCTGCAAAGTTATTTCCAACTTTTTACTTCTAAGCGGATAAGTTACGTGAGCACGAATGCGAGCACGAGCAGTAAGTTGCAGGCTGCAGTTCACTTAACGGCCACCAGTGTCGCTAATAACAAGGGTTTCTGAATACTACATATAGCCCCTTGAAGCCTTTAGTGAGATGAGGGCATTCATTCAGGTATGTCACAATGTTTTGTGCTGTTCCGAACTTTTAACTGAGTCACTTCACGGCTTCGATTTCAGACTGTGCAGAGAAGGACTTTGTCGACTCCAATTTGGTGCAGGTTCTACACAAACTACTGACAGAGGAGCACAGTGCACCAGAGATCAAATACAACTCCATGATTATCATCTGCTCCATCATGGGATCGGGTGAGTCAAGAGATCACAGAAACAAATGACTCAACACGTTCACAGGTGTAGGAAGGATTGAACCAAAAGAAGCCTGAAACTACACTTAAACAGCATTATTATTGTTGACAAAAACTATTTGAAATAAAATAAATTTTAAATATTAGATGGGGAAAAACTTAAGAAATAAGCTTACTTAACTATATTATGCATATGTTTAGCTAATACATGCAACTAACCCTAAACCAAACCCTAATACTAACACTATAGTAAGTTCATGCAGTGAATTATTATTACTCAGTACTTAAATGCTAAATTACACTGTAACAAAGACGCCTTAGGGCCTGTTCACATATCGCGTCTTTTGCACGCTCAAGTTCGTTATTTCAAATGTAGGTGCGCGGTATGCGCGCTCATAATGGAAGCGACGCGGTCGCGGAGCGACACGCTCGTTTTTTCCAAGCGCGTCCGCGCCGCATCGAGATAAAAACATCTCAACTTTTCAGAATGCCGCAAGCGCACCGTAGGTCACGTGACAAGAACCAACCACAGCAACGACAGACTAGCGCAACCGCCCTAGCGCTTTGGAAAAAGGAGAACGCGGCGCGGCGCGCCTAGTGTTTTCTACGCGTTTTTAGGCGCTATATGTGAATGCCGCCTTAATCATAGAGTTGCACTGATCGACCGGCCAGGGACCGGAGTCGGATTATTTTCCGAATTATCCATTTAGTTGCCAGTGACACAGGCAATAACGTCAGCTGCGCGTTCTCGCTCTCTTCTCTCCAACGGCGAAGTGACACACACCCGCCTCCTCTCACTCACTCGTCTCATTCGCTACGGTTAAATATTGCTTGTATTGCGCATAAATTTACAAATTCTAATTTGAAATACTAAAGGCCTGTTCACACCGGGACGAATTTCGTGCGCGATATTCGCCGACGTTTAACGCCTCGTGACTAAACAAAGGGCGCCTATGTGAGTGAGCACACCGACGCGAAAAACGGCACGCGTAAAAGCGTCATTTTTTTTAAAACGCCTCAGGTTCGTCTTTTTTGGTTTGACGCACCGGGTCAAAAACTATCCGACCAATGAGATTGGCGCTTTTGCTCACGTGTATGGAGCTTCTGAAGTTTCAGTAAAACACAACTTGGGGGCGCTCAAACACAAAACAGTCTTGCTGAGCATACATACGTAACGGCGAAGAAGATGCGCCAAGTAGCGTCTACACGCGTCTACACCATAGATATCCATAATAAAGGCTAGATGTCTCGTCCGCGCTGCTGGCCAAATATGGCCTTTATTATGGATATCTATGGTCTACACTGCCGGGAAGAAATAAGGCGAGGAAGATGCAAGGCAAGATGAATGTATAGAGCTGCTGATCTCGTTGGTGTCGGAACATAAAGAACTATGACAAACGCGACAGCGACTACAAAATAGGACTAGCAGCTATTTCTGTTTTACATTAAGCGCCATCTAATGTCAGGGAATGAATTTGCATGTTCACTCGGCTCATCGTCAGCGAAAATCGCTTGGGTGTGAACACAAAAAACGCGTTGAAAAACGCTGACGAATAACGCGCGCCGATATTCGTCCCGGTGTGTACGGGGCTTAATTCAGTTAAACACAGTCAGTTTTGGAACCTAATTAGTTGAGAAAGATTGTGTAACAGTGTATTGGATCCGTGCATAAACTCTTAAAGTGACAGCAGCCTAATAAACCTGCTTATGTCTGTCTATGTTAATCAAAGAACAAAAGAAAAAAAAAATCACTCTCTTTGAACAATATTGTGACGTGTTTATTCCCGGAAGAAAACTCAAGGATTCAGGGAGTTCAGAAACGGTGTTTACTGATATAGAGAATAACTCCTATTGGAGTGACTTTGTGATTAGTAACTTTGCAGACCTTTTTCATGCTCAAACAGACAACATACACACTAAAGAAAAATGTTTTAAAAAATCATAAGAGGACCCCTTTAAAATGTAGTGTGTCAACCTAATTATTAAATTATTAATGGTAACATTTGTTATTCCAATTTTCTTTGTTAAAAAAATGTCTTCATAATTTTAGTAAAGTAAAAATGCAAGTAAAATGTGTTGTGCATGTTGTTCCATGTACCGAACTAAACTCTCATGAATCAAATTATCCCGTTTGAATGGCTGAATTGTGTGTTTCCTCCTCTTGCCTTAGAGCCGCTTCACAAAGAAGTGCAGAGCTTGGCCTTTATCGACGTGGTCTCCAATCTCCGCTCACACGAGAACAAGACGGTGGCCCACCAGGCCTCTCTCACAGAGCAAAGGTTAACAGCACAGAGCTAAAAGACTCTTACACACCATCTCCTCCCTGCCTGCTTCCCCTCACACACATATCTCTCGTTGTCATGTGCCAAGATGTTGCCCCTCTGCATTCCCTGCTACAGACTCTGAAAGCCCTCTGTTTGCTCCAAGCATGCAGAGACGCGTTACCCAAAGGCGGCCATACTTTATAGACAGCCTTCTGCAATAGATTCATACCCGAACTGCAAAATATTTTTAAAAGACCATAGCTGTGATAAAAAAAAAAAAAACCATTAAAGGTTTAGTCAAAACAAAAATGAAAATTCTGTCATTAGTTACTCGCCCTCATGTCGTTCAAAACCCGTAAGACTTTCGTTCATCTTCAAAACACAAATTAAGATCTTTTTGATGAAATCTGAGGAGCTTTCTGTCCCTCCATTGAAAGTATATTCACCTAAAACTCTGATGCGTCAAGATGTTGATAAAATCCATATGAATTGAGCGGTTTAATTCAAATCTTCCGAAGAAACATGATCACTTTATATGGTAAACGAAGGCTCAACCGTACATGCGAGAACAAACCTCATTGGTTCTCGCACGTCAAGCGAACATGCTTGAGCTTCTGTTTTAGTATATTTGATGCCCTGTGTTTGTTCACGATCAGTGTTTATATCGGAATAAAAGCCGAAATTAAATCTGTTCATCATTCAAACGATCGTGGATTTATTTAAGTGTCTTTGGGTGAACGGAGGAACCGAAATCTCTTCAAAATAAGATGAACGAAAGTCTTACGAGTTTGGAACGACATGAGGGTGAGTAACTAATGTGAAAATTTTCATGTTTGGGTGAACTATCCCTTTAAGCGGAATTAAAAGTAGAACATGTATGTTGGCAGTGGAAATAGAGCAGTTGTGCTTTCATGACATGTAAAATCACACATACCAACCGACTTGTGCATGTTTTTTTTTGTTTTTTTTTAATCGTCCAGTTTGTTGATGTATCTGTGTTCAGCTATCCAAGCCACGCCCATATGATATGCCCCGCCTCCTCCTTCTGCTTACTAATTTACATAGAAGAGTAGAGATCAAGAGATGTGTTTGTACTGTATAGGGCACCTCTGGACCAGCATGGACCTTTTCATATTTCGCCTCCTGGTCCTATTGTGCCGTCCACGATCCATATCTTTACTGGAAAGAGCTAATTCCATATCGTTAGTCGAGAAATCATTGCTTATTGTCATATGGATGTATGAAGAAGTGATACATCTTGGTACCAAGGACTAAAGTTGATTTTGATTATTTCAGCCCGGCGTACACCTCATTCAAAAAAGCGACGTCTTTCTAACATAGCATCAATAATTTAAAACACATTCCTGATCAGGATAATGACTAGCATGACTGCCAGTACGCACACACATACTAGGCTTCATGGCAGATTACTGAGACATGTAAGGGCTGGGACGGGTTATGTGTGTAGCTGATACCGCCACAGTTACGCTGAATAATAATGTCTCGGACGACACACTCTTTGTGAATGTTTCTTTCGAGAAAGTGTCTCTTTTTTTTTTCTTTTTTTTTGCATGTGGAGCTGCCTGTCCTCCTTTCCGTCCTCTCCAGTGTCCTCCGAACTTGCACCTCCTCGCATGTTCGATACTGTTAAAACCACTGTTCTGTGGCCATTTTATGGCAGGTAAATAAGTTCTTATTTATCATATTTGTACCACATGGCAATCCAATATATCTACAGTAGGAACCGTGCGAATATAAATGGAAATAATTGTTGTAAATGTCATTGAACTGTACATTTCAAAGATTTAAACTTATTAAAACAATTGCTGGTGACAAATTTATGCTCTGTGATTCTACCTTGCCTTCTTGTCAAAGTTGCGTTCCTTCAGGCATGTTCATATTCGGGTAGAAATAGTTTATTAAATGTTGAGGTGAAAGAGTTGAGTGAAATGCTCACTGAGCAGATTAATGATACACTGCTGTAGATTTTTATTCAATTGAATACATCTTTAGGTTGAATTAAAACTCCCTCTTTCATTTTGATGTCAAGAGGAGATTAAAGTGATTTGAGAGAGTGGGTTGAATCTGCAGAAGCGCTAGTGATGCATTGTGGACTAAATCTGTGTGTCAAAAAGGATGATGAAATGGTTGAAACATGCTTTAATAAAACAGCAGAAACTTTTTCTTGTGTATATATTTAAATAAATAAAAAATACATGAACACAAGCAAGGTATTTATTTATATTATACAATATATTTATATCCAGTAAAATATGGAAGCCAATTCTACTACACAATAAATAAATCATGCTTTGGTAAATCATAAAACATTATGACATAACTCAAAATGAGTTTTAAATTGACACTGTCACACTAAGCTGTACGATAAAAACTAGAAATTATGATATAAAATAATTATGAGATAGGCATGACATAAAAATTCTAAATTATGACGTCATAATTCTGAGATAAAAAGTTGAAACTGACACATAGTCAAAGCTGTATAATAAAAACTTGAAATTATTATATAAAATGTTAACAATTATGAGGCATGACATAAAAATTCTAAATTATGACGTCATAATTCTGAGATAAAATTTTGAAACTGACACACTAAGTCGAAGCTGTATAATAAAAACTTGAAATTATGATATAAAATGTTAACAATTATGAGATAGGCATGACATAAAAATTCTAAATTATGACATCATAATTATGAGATAAACAGTTGAAACTGACACACTAAGTCAAAGCTGTATAATAAAAACTTGAAATTATGATATAAAATAATTATGAGATAGGCATGACAAAAATTCTAAATTATGACGTGATAATTATGAGATAAAAAGTTGAAACTGACACACTAAGTCAAAGCGGTATAATAAAAACTTGAAATGATTATATAAAATGTAAACAATTATGAGATAGGCATGACATAAACATTCTAAATTATGACGTCATAATTATGAGATAAAAAGTTGAAACTGACACACTAAGTCAAAGCTATATAATAAAAACTTGAAATTATGATAAAAAATGTAAACAATTATGAGATAGGCATGACATAAACATTCTAAATTATGATGTCACAATTATGAGATAAAAAGTTGAAATTGACTGTCAAAACTATATGATGATAACTTGAAGTTATGATATAAAAAGTAATATGACATTAAAAAATCGAATTATGACGTCAATTATGAGATGCGTCGAAAGCCCATTCTACCACATAAGAAAATAAATGCTTTGGTAAATCATGACACGTCATAATTATGTCACAAAAACTTGAAATGATAACTCAAAATAATATATCATTTAACTAAATTAACAGCAGTCTTTACTATTACACTGACCAATATTTGTTGCTGAAGGGATTCTAAATTAATATTCACTATTTACTAAAGGCTCCTTAAAAGAAAACAGAGACATAAACAATGTTAAAATGACTTTGAGTGAAGTTTAATGACACACGAGTGCTACATAGTGTTACAGAGTGTTACACCATCCAGCTGTGTTGGCATTGTAAAAGTGCTAAAATATCACTTCCATATTTACAACAAACAAGCTTCTGATTAGTCCATACATTACAGAAAAATACTGTCACGGTACGTTTTTCTCTTTAATCAGAAATTGTTTGTGAAAGATAAACATCTGAATAAGAAATGCTCTCTAATTGGTTAGTGCAAGGACAAAATTAAGGATAAATGAAATGTTTAACTGACTGTTTCAGTGAACTTAAGCTGCAAGATTTGCTTCATATATTTGTTCTTAAGTGTGAAATGTAATATGTAACTTAAAGGGATACTCCACTTTTTTTTGGAAATAGGCTCATTTTACAACTCCCCCAGAGTTAAACTGTTGAGTTTTACCGTTTTTGAATCCATTCAGCCGATCTCCGGTTCTGGCGGTACCACTTTTAGCATAACTACATCATTGAAGTGGACAAGACCATTAGCATTTCTGCAAAAAAAAAAAATGACCAAAGAGTTTCGATATTTTTCCTATTTAAAACTTGACTCTTCTGTAGTTACATCGTGCACTAAGACCGACGGAAAATGTAAAGTTGCGATTTTCTAGGCTGATATGGCTAGGAACTATACTCTCATTCCTGCGTAATAATCAAGAAACTTTACTGCCGTATGAGAGCAGCAGGCGTAATGATATGACGCAGCGCCTGAAAATAGGCTACCTTCCGTCAACACAACGGAACTATTTTCAGGCGCTGCGTCATATCATTACCCCTGCTGCTCTCATGGTACGGCAGTAAAGTTTCTTGATTATTACGCAGGAATGAGAGTATAGTTCCTAGCCATATCAGCCTAGAAAATCGCAGCTTTACATTTTCCGTCGGTCTTAGTGCACGATGTAACTACAGAAGAGTCAAGTTTTAAATAGAAAAAATATAGAAACTTTTTGGTCATTTTTTTTTTTTTTTTTTTTTAGAAATGCTAATGGTCTTGTCTACTTCAATGATGTATGTTAAGCTATGCTAAAAGTGGTACCGCCAGAACCGGAGATCGGCTGAATGGATTCAAAAACGGTAAAACTCAACAGTTTAACTCTGGGGGAGTTGTAAAATGAGCTTATTTCCAAAAAAAGTGGAGTCTTTAAGTGCATAAATGAACCAGTGTGAACAGGATAAACTAAAACAAAATAGCAAACACATTGGCAATGAGAGACTCCCTCGCTGAACTTCACACACGCAGAGCTTCACATTCTCCCACAGAGATGATCGAGTGCTACAAATCCTTTCCCATCAGACTTGAGTTTTTGAAAGTTTACGTTTTATCCGTCATTGTTTCAAAAAAGATTATTATTATTTAGCCCCAGATGTTTATCATGGAATCTTGGTCAATCTTTGCATCTGTGTTTATTGTTGAGTATCATATTTGATACATCAGGCTTTTATGGCTCACATGGTATGATATAGTGAGAATATAGAGCTTATACACGACAACAGGACGGAAATAAAAAACACCTCAATTTTATCCAAACTGAGCAAAAATATGCAATTTGCTGCAGTTACTGATACTTCTATGTCCAAAAATATGGGCTTTTTATGGCTCACATGTTATGATATAGTGAGAATATAGAGCTTATACACGACAACAGGACGGAAATAAAAAAACACCTAAATTTTATCCAAACTGAGCAAAAATATGCAATTTGCTGCAGTTACTGATACTTCTATGTCCAAAAAGATGAAATTCTGATAGCTTGTAATGTAAATCAATGAGATCTTTACAACATAAAATGAGTATAAATATCAGTTGTCACTATATCTGCAAATAAATGTCTTCGTAAGATGATATTTAAAACTTATTTAATGATCAAATCTCTAGTCTTTATTGTGGGGGCAAAACCTATAACGCAGTTCCATATGAGAGATGAACAAATAAACGTTCCTCAAAAGCCTAATGGATCTTATTTGATACATTTTAACAGGTAGGTTCTGTTAATCAGTTCTCTAAGCAGGAGAACATATTATGCGTCACATTATTGCACTACAGTGATAACTGAAGTAACTAATTATGTTCATTCTTTATTTTGTATGGAAAACATGCATGTACTTATGCATTAAAGTGTAACTCGATATAAAATCACATAAAATCAAAAATAAACTCATTTGTTTATGTGACAAGGGAACAAGGGGTTTTGTGGTGCATTGTGGGAATTTTTAGGGAGTGAATGTTCAGTGCACTGGACATTGATTCCCTGGCCAGTGTTCTGACAGTGTTATTTTTTGAATTATGCTATTTTTTTTTTTTTACGATTAGGCAAATGATGGAACATTTTCTGTTGGACTTCTGTGGACAAACATTTGGTTGCACTTTATTTTACAGTACGTGCACTTACGTGTACTTACAGTGTACTTGCCTACGAAAGCATTGGGGAATATAAGGTAACTACATGGGTTACGGTTAGGTTCAGGGTTAGTTATTGCAATAACTAATAAGTACATAGTATGTACATGGGGAACAGGACTGTAAAATAAAGTGCTACTAAACATTTTCTCACATGTATTACATGTGTTTTACACATCAAACACTAGAAAAAACAGCACGATTTACATATAGTAAAAGGTTATGGTACACACACACACACACACACACACGACCCAGTGCACTTAGCATCTTGTGTTCATCATTCGCTAGCTTCATCAAGCTGGCGTAGGCCTGTTTACAAAGAAAAAGTAACACAGGTTTGGACAATGCGACTAGATCACAATTATGTTTTCTATCAAATGAAATCTTTCTAGTTAGGTTGGTATTAAAGTCAGCATGAAACAGAAGTTGCGATAGCCTTTTCTTCCATATTGTGACATATAATTGTTTGTTCCATAATGTCCCTATTGAAACGGCTTCTGAAACGAGAAAAAAAAAAGTAGGTGGGACTTGATTTTGTCCATGGGGAATTGATTAGATGGTTGTGGTTTGCTATTGGTGGATCTCAGGTGAGTGACAGGTTGCCCCGCCCTCACGCCAGTAAACGCATCATCGGAGAGGAGATGAGATGTTTCTGCAAGAGGGAGGGGAAGGTATTTTGATTATGAGGGCATATGAATTAAAAAAATAATTATAATGATGTGTCACAGATCAATCATTTATAATAGATACTGCAATATTCCATAAAACAAGATTTCATGGTGACTTTAACAGTATGAATATTATATCAGAATATTTATTCCATACGTAACATTCACCTTGGTTTCATGCTGACTTTAAGGATTCCACGTTATGGAAGTGTATGAGTGCATTAATTACCTGTGAGTGTCTGAACGACTAGCTGCCACTTCATGTGAACAAACTGCACAAGAGAAAGATATAAAAAGATAAACGATACGGATCATAAACAGACGTCTAAAGCCAATGGTGTGAGGCCTCATTAGGAGTTGGCATTACTCCAGTGACTTTTCCAATAAAACCAAAGTAGGGCTCTTTCTTTTTTTTTAATGCCAACTTGACAAATGGGGCCTTGCATTAGAGAAATCACCATTGCAATCTACAGTGTGAGTGACTGAATGATTCTCAGCTAGAGAGAACATGACTGATGTGGGATGGATGGAAGGGTAGCAGCAAGGCCAGCTGGGATATCAAGGTTATAAAGAGAGATGAAGCTTGACACCAGACAGTCCGAGGAGCTAAACGGGACTAAAAGTGGGAGAGAGAGTCTGAGGGAGTAAAAAGGATGGGGTTAAAATGACAGTGATCGTGGAATGGGACACCTTTATTGCACTCGTCCTGCAGTAGGAGATCTCTGTGGGACTGGAATATTGAGGAAAAGTCATCCTTATGAATTAATGGTGACACTTTACAATAAGGTCCCATTAGTTAATGCATTAACTAACAATGAGCAATACTGTACATTTGTTACAGTATTTATTCGTCTATGTTAACATTAGTTAAAGGGATAGTTCACTTTGAAATAAGTTTTTGGTATGTTTAGCTTACCTGAAGGGCATCCAAGATGTAGGTGTCTTTGTTTCCGCAGTAGTTTCAATTTTGATATTTTTAGGTCAAACCGTTCTTGTCTGTCAGTCATATAATGCAGGTCTATGGTCACCACCTCAAAGAGCATGCACAGAGAAGTCCAAATTAAACATGATTTAATGACTCGTAAATGTAAGTACACATTGATGGCCTAAGACACGAAACGAGCGGTTTGTGTGAGAAAACGAACAGTATTTATATAGTTTTTACCTCTTGTAAACACAGCCACGTCCAAGTGACGTACACGCGCGAGAGATCACTTCCGGCGCTTTCCGGAAAAGACCGAAGCGCCCGCGCCCTCAGATCACTTGGACGTGGCTGTGTTTACAAGAGGTAAAAACGATATAAATACTGTTCGTTTTCTCACACAAACCGCTCGTTTCGTGTCTTAGGCCATCAATGTGTACTTACATTTACGAGTCATTAAATCATGTTTAATTTGGACTTCTCTGTGCATGCTCTTTGAGGCGGTGACCATAGACCTGCATTATATGACTGACAGACAAGAACGGTTTGACCTAAAAATATCAAAATTGAAACTACTGCGGAAACAAAGACACCTACATCTTGGATGCCCTTGAGGTAAGCTAAAACATACCAAAAATTAATTTCAAAGTGAACTATCCCTTTAATAAAAATACAGCTGCTTATTGTTAGTTCAAGTTAGCTCAGGTCCATTAAATGATATTAAAATATACAACTTTTGAGTAATTGTTGAAATTAACATTAAAGGGATAGTTCACCCAAAACTAAAATAAAATTCTGTCATTAATTACTTACCCTCATGTCGTTCCAAACCCGTAAGACTTTTGTTCATCTTCGGAACAAAAATGAAGATCTTTTTTGATGAAATCTGAGATCTTTCTGTCCCTCCATTGACAGCTACGCAACTACCACTTTGACGCTTCAAAAAGTTCATAAAGAGATCGTAAAACTGATCCATATGAACTCTTCAATTTGGAGGAATTGTTCAATAGTAAGAAAAAAAATACCATGGAAGTCAATGGCTACCGTCAACTGTTTGGTTACCAACATTCTTCAAAATATCTACTTTTGTGTTCAACAGAAGACAAATTCAGTGAGTAAATGATGACAGAATTGACATTTTTGGGCAAACTATCCCTCTGAGAATGTAAAAGTGTAACTTGTTTGATGTAAGTGGATGAACCTTTGATGAATGATGACTGTTATGGGAGTAAGAACATTCACAAGCCCCCAAACAAGGATAAACAGAGCGGTAAGGATCTAGGTGAACACAAACACAACACACGCAGGCATGTTACACACCCACCAGACGAACGCCTCCCTCAGGAGTACGCCGAGGCTTTCTTGCTGTAGTGGGGCGGAGGGCGGCGGGCGACGTAAGAGAGGGGCGGCACCCTGATGAAGGCATGGGGGAGGAGAAGTGAAGTTGTGAGGCGAGTTGGCGTGATTATGACAGTGTGGGAGATAGAGAGGACGGAGGACAGTGAGTGGAGGGGTGTGTGTGTTGTGAGGAGTTTAATTGGGAGTAAACCACATTCACATCACCTTAGAGAGAATAACTAATAAGGCAATGCTACACTACAGGTCAAAAGTTTGGAGTAATAATAAAGATTTTCTAAGTCTCTTAGGCTCACCAAGGCTGCATTTATTTGATTAAAAATACAGTAATATTGTGAAAAAATTATAGTAATAATAATAAACGTTTTCTATTGTGAAATATTTAAAAATGTATTCCTGTAATTTATATTTTGCTGCTTGGGCAAGTAAGATAAAAAAAAGAGAAAAGAATTCAATACTTTCATTCAGCAAGGACACATTAAATTGATTTATAATCATTTTTATAATGTTACAAAATAAATGCTGTTCTTTTGAACTTTCTATTCTTCAAAGAAAGAAAATGATCAAAATTTCCACAAAAACATTAAGCAGAAAAATTTTTTTTTAAGCACTGATAATAATTGAGAAACAATAATTACTGAGTAGCAAATCAGCATATTATAATGATTTCTGAAGGATCATGTGACACTGAAGACTGGAGTAATGATGCTGTAAATTCAGGAATAAATTACATTTTAAAATATGTTCAAATAGAAAACAGTCCTTTTAAATTGTAATATTATTTCACAATATTACTGTTTTTACTGTATTTTTAAAAAACATTAACCAAAATAATTATTCCAAATTATTATAATTATTCATAATATTAGGTAATATAGCAGTATGTTTCCATTCAAGAGAGCTGAGCGAGTTTTAACCAAACATTCCTTTTTTGTCCACATGGTGGCAGTTCTCGAAGCAAAAACTGTGAAGAAAGGTTGTTTAGAGGTTTTGATAAGACTCCAGAAACACGCTTGGCCATTAACTGTATTAGAGCAGCAAGTCATTCATGTGCATTACGAATCCACACATCAAAGCACTGGGGCGAAAGAGAAAAGCTGCTCGCTGTGGCAGTGTGCAAAACTAGAGCAGGAAGAGAGGATGTGTCGTAAGTTTGCATCTGTATGTTCTTACCAGCTGGCTCTCACAGCTTCAATATCGCTGACTAAATTTTGTGCAAGGCATATTCCAAATATCTGCGGAAAATAGAGTGAGAGAAACAGAATGAGAATAGATAGCAGATCCAGTCAGCGATCGCAGATGAAGATCGCGTTCTCACCTGCAGCAGCGCGATTCCAATGAAGATCCCAGCCACTATCGTCAGGTTGTCCTGTAGCCATTTCTCAAACTGCGGCACACAGCCTTTCACATGAATGTATGTTTTCTGTTCTGCATCCTAATGAGGAAAATGAAAATTAGGATCAAGACTTTCCTCGTTCTAACTATGCACATGAACAGTCTAAAGTTGGGACACGCTTGAATTTATGTTTCTCAGATCTAAAGGATTATGCTCATGTCGTGGTGATTTTTTATTTTGCACTGTAAAGAAAGATAGTTTCAAAGTTTGTAATGGAGTATGTTTTACAAGAAAATACTAGTTCAGTATATTTAAGTCTATAAGTTTTAAAGGTGCTCTATGTAACTTTTCTACTAAAATGAATCCTTTTTTTATTGCCTGTGTGTGAAGGGGTTGTAATCGCACATTAAAATTATCCACTTGTCGAGTTTTGCTATTACCTCTGAACGCCAGTATTCCTATTTCTATGTGAAGTCTCCGGGTCGGATTTACCGCGAAATCCAACGGATGTGACGTGCATGCGCGCTCCCGAGCCTCTCTCCTTATATACAGTCTATTGTAGACGGTCAGGGAGTTACGTCCGGTTAAAGGCGCACGTTTTTTGGCTTATATCTCAGTAAATTTTTGATCAATATTCCCAAGACTCTAATCATTCGTAGTGCTGGACGGGGCCTTTCGAACGAGCCCACCCCCGAGGTCCAACTCGCCCGGCTCCCCGAGTTATAGCCGTTCGAAAAGGGGGGTCCCAGCGAACGGCGATCCGGTAGGGGGCATCCCCGAGGCCCACCACTCTAGCGTTCGGGCAAGGGTTCCCCTGGGACCTCCTCCCCCGAATTTGAGCTCTCTGGGTCTTTGCGTTCCAGAGATACGAGCGATTTTCTTCTGAGATCGTGACGTCACCGGCGTCCGCAATTGTGCAGCGCGCCCGATGGTTTTCTGCTAATATCTCCGCGAAAACACCACCAAAAACTATGGACCTTATATGGTTCTTTTCAGCTCGACTAGATGGTCCCAATGAGCTCGGTGCTCGCCGAATCCGTCTAGTATTCGCCGAGATATTTGCGTAATAGACGGTATTGTCTGTGAGTTCGAGCACGAGCGCTCTTGTAAAATTTGGTTGCAATCTGAAACATCACCACTAGAGGCCGCTAAAAGTTACATAGAGCACCTTTAAGTGAACTTATTAAAGTTAATAAACTAGGAAACTGCAAATAACTTTTATATGTGTGCATATTTCTTTTTCTTTACTGTGCCTATGTACAGTATTTTTAATTACTTTACCATTGTGTATGAAATGAATAACAGCTTCCTTCTTTTGTATTAATACATATTTGGGGTGTAACAGAGTTTTTTTTTTTTTTTATCAAACCGTTTCAGTTCTCCACCCATGGTTCGGCATACACTTGCTGTAATTGCCTAACCTGGCCCTAGCCAGATGAATTTCGCTCCGCCTAGCTTCACTCACATCCATCTGGAACCTCTTCCATTGAGAGTGATTTCTCCAACCAACTTTATGGTTTAGCCAATCAGGACGCAGGGCGGGAGTTTCATAGATGTGACGTAGTGGAGAAGCGACCGTGAGACTGTTTTGATTCAGACAACAATGGCGGCTCGCATCGAGGAAACGAGCGTTAACATTGATGCTGTTAACATTGATTTCATCCGTGTTGTCCAATCTACCTAATATTGTTTCATTAAAAGAACATCAGAGAACGGCTCTTAAGGCTTTTGTTGGTGGAAACGATGTTATATAGATCAGTGCCTTCTCCCGACCGGATTCTTCAGCGTCACGGGTTGGCTTCGGTGTGAGTGGTTGAAATAGCACGTCGATAAAGATGACAGACAAGTGGCTTATCCAATCATATGCAAGGATTTTTGATAAGGCCCAGCCTTCTGAAACGCCATTTCAATGGATCGGTTCCAGATGGATGTGAGTGAAGCTAGGCGGAGCGAAATTCATCTGGCAAGGGCCAGGTTAGTAATTGCCTATGGTTTGTCGAAAATAACGCATAAAACAAACAAAGTTCGGTTAATGTATGTTTCTGTCGATGGATACGCATTCTGACTTCCCAATACGTTACAACAGAATGATAAAAAAAAAACATGGACAAAACAGTCACTCTTTGTAAACTTTGTTCAATAGGAGTGCCTATACTCTAACATGACCAGTCATTTACGCCGTCATCATCGTGTTGATGGCGCGAGCGCAGGTGAGACCTGAACAGCACTTTATCTGTGCTTAAACTAAACTCATTTAAGCCTTGCCAATTTAAACAATCAAATAAGACGTGAAAGAGAACTACAAAGATTTGTGTGTGCACAAAAGCCGCGTCTCAGACATTGAGTTCTCTCTCAAGTCTCAAGTCAAATTCACACAAAAATTGTGTCAACATGCCCGTCTTGGCGAGAATCCTAGCAAACACAGTAGGTTATGTCTTAAAGGTACAATATGTAGGAATTTTTCATCACAAGAGGGCGCAGTTACCAACAATAACAAAGGCGAAGCTTGGTGACGCTATGAGGGAGAGTTGAACGATGGGAGATGTCGAGATGTTATGGAATTAATGAATCATGATCACGGATGAGGTAATTTATTTGTTTTTTGTATTACCTGTACGTCTGATCGCTATATTTTATGTCACCATAATGAATTAACTGCAAGGAACGCGAAATGTTATGCTATATTATCCTGTTACAGCTATTTGTCAAATGATTTGTTGGGTTAATGCTGCGCAGTTTTACATGTTTATGGTTAATGCCGTGTTCAAACCAATCGTACTCAAAGTAAATTTGAACGAACATTTGCAGTAAAGGCTAAATATTGTTTAACAACACATATCCGATTGTATTTAATTGCACTGCCATAATCTCGGTCAAAACACAAGTGATAAAAAGCATTACCAAAGTACAAAGAGCAATATAACTGAATTTTCATCAGCATAACGATCACTTGATAGTTTTTGAGGTGAATCAACATATGCATAATGATTGATCTGTCACGTCATATAGGCCTATGTATCTCGCATTGTTTCTAAGTGATATTATTGACAGTTGCATGTGTTGCAAGGAAACACAGATACATCCTTTTGTTTTATGTACATTTGCTCACCTGTCTAATAAAGTATATGCAAGAGCGGTGTTGCTCCAAATTAGTCGCGGACGTGGAGCTCTCGGCATCTCGAAAACGCCACGCTGATATTGATCCTCATTTTAATTCTCCTTTTTTGTCCCAAAGTCTGCTTGCCATGGTCCATAATGTTTGAACAAAACAACAACAGCGCGCAGCTAAACGTTACGCACTACACAGTTGTCCACGCCTGTCACCATGGTTACGTCATGGCTATGGCAGTACGAGCGGAAACCGAGGAAAGCGCGGATATTGCGTCATTGACAGGCGACATTTTTTTTCCGGGACGGCCACTTATTTAAAATTGGAATTTCTCTGAAATAAAAAATCTTTGGAGACTTTTGGGATATTGTAAGTACACAACTGCGGGAAACATATCACACCCCGCAAGTGAATTTTGGATGTTTTATTACAAAATTCCTACATATTGTACCTTTAAGTGAACATAAACAGTCGAGAAAGACAATGCATGTGTATCAGTATCAGTGTATTGGATCCATGCACTATTTCTTAAAGTGACAGCAGCCTAATATTCCTGCGATCTGTGTTTTTAATGTTAATCAAACAACAGAAGACAAGGATATCACTCACTCCTTTTGACTATATAGCTTTTGTAACTTTGAATTTAGTTTATAGAGTGAAGATTATATGCAATGTTATTTTACATTTGATTACTTGAAAACTACTGTTAGACCTACCTAAAAAAAACGATTTATTTTATTTGTATCTTTGCTCTGTTGTATTTCTTTGTGCTGTTGCTTCTTTGATTATTTGTAATTTTCTTTATCTTTATTTGATATTAGTCCTTTTTTTCATAGCACATACCGAACCGTACTGAAACCGTGACCCTAAAACAGTGATAAAAACCGAACCGTGAGTAATTTGAACTGTTACACCCCTAATACATGCTGTACAGGTCAGCCAAACCGGCCTTCATTTTGAGAGTCATGCGGTCCGTTACATTGACTGAAGTGAAGAGCAGAAGGCAGGGGAAACCGTGCCAGAGCCCGACACATACATTTAGCCTCAAACTGATGGAGTGTGTGAAAAGTAAGACTCACTGATTTTGCTCGGACGTCATACCCACACTGTGTGTTGATAACATCCTCCTGCAAAACAAGTCGTTCATGTGGAATTAATGGAGGACAGTGGTAACATTTCAACTTTAAGGAAGTATGTTGACAGTCAGAAGAATTCCAGTGTGGGTGGAGTGAAGAGATAAGACTGGAAAGTTCATCATTTTTATAAAAAAAAAAAACCTGAACAAACTAGCCAACAGGATATGCTTGTCATTCAAATCTTCATGACTTGTTTCACTTAAAATAGTTTCACTTTGTTCCTGTTTGAAATCAGTTCTGCTTTGTCCAGTGATTTCATTTAAACATTCTTCGAAATGAACAAACTCTAGTGAAGTTATAGTAGGTAAATGACTCACTATTTGCTTTTCTTATTATAACTTACTGTGAAGGAAACACATTACCGCCTGCAGTTCTCCTTCATGCTGTAATAATGAATAGCTGTATTCATAGAAAGGCTCGTAACTGAATCATTTAATGTCAATAATGATTATTTGTTAATAGCTCACAACAGGCCATAATTCCATCCTCTTTGCCATAGATGTTGTACTTCCAGTTCTCTTTTATTGTCTGCGAAATGTTATTTTTATTCTGTGCACGTAGACCAAATCCTGTTCTATACTCCCCTTTTGTTTTGCTCTGCCATGTATTGTTTGCACTTTCCCCTCACGCTTTTAGTCTCTCTCTAATCAGGGAAATAGTGGCATGCAAATTGTGCTTAGAAAAAAACTGCATTCATTTTGTTCTGGAGAAAGTATCTCAGTGGTAAAAGTTTCTCAATTGCGTCATATTTAAAGTGCGCTATTATGCTTTGCTTGGATATTACATTTCATGTAGTGTGTAATATAGCTGTTTGTGAATGTAAAAGTCTTGTTGACATGTTGAGAAGACGCTGTTTTATGCGCTGTATTAAGTTACAAATAACACAAAGTTTCCATATAAATGCATCTCTTACCGCTGGGTCTTTGGTGCAACAAGAGAAGGGCACGCCACATTTTTCTCGGCTGGGGTTGCTGTCTGTGCAATTGAAGTAGATGTTGAGGTTCCAGTCATCTGCTCCAAACGCCCCACAACATTCCCACTAAAGAAACAAAAAATGGAATTACATTACAATCTGGAATGCACTTTCATCATAAAATGTAGATCAAATTGCAATAATTTGGAATATTAGACACAACTCTATAAGGAAGTACAGTGAAAATACAGATGCATTGAATGTATCTGCTTAACACACATCAATGTCAAAGATGTGGCATAAGGCGCTTGTTCCTTAAAGAAAGAAAACCTCGATCCGCCCCATGTTCTCCCATTATACTAGTATATTATGTTGACATGCAGTGCTTTGCTATGTCTGTCTTCTTTATCATGCAAGGTCAGCAAGGAAATAAAATGACAGCATCTGCCTGACTCTGATATCTAATTAAATCTGTCCTGAGGAAAAGTCATGTTCTGGAAACAGATCTGCAGTACAGAGCATAAAGCTGGAAAAAAAACAATATAAGCTTCAGTTGTGCTGTGTGGGGCTCAACTGAAATCTAGTTTTGGATGAAATCTGAAAACTTTCTGTCCCCTCCGTTGACAGCAAATCAGTTTTATGAATTTGAACTTTTTGAAGCGTCAAAGTGGTAGTTTCATAACTGTCAGAAAGGGAGGGACAGAAAGCTTTCAGATTTCATCAAAAAGATCTTAATTTGTGTTTCGAAGATGAACGAAAGTCTTACGGTCTTGGAACGACATGAGGGTGAGTAATTAATGACAGAATTTTCATTTTTGGGTCCTTTAAAGGTGCAATGTGTAAAATTTTTGAGTATCTATTAACAGAAATGCAATATGACATCCATAACTATGTTTTCAGTGGTGTATAAAGAACTTACTTAATAAACTGTAATGTTTTTATTACCTTAGAATGAGACATTTATATCTACATAACCGCGGCACCCCCTTCTATGAAGGTCGCCATATTGTGACGTCATGTTTGTACCGTAGCCGAACGCGAACACACAGCGCTACAGACCGCGTTTCGTCACTACCTTGAAAGAGAAGCAGCAGAAACCTAGAAGCTAGCCATAAACACTGTGAGTAGTGACTTTTCCCTTGTCAGTGGTGTAAAATAGGTAGTTGGATTGTTTCATGTAACTTAGATCTTCTTCTCCCTCGCTGTGTTATGGCTTTGCTATGTGGGGATAAATGTGCTGGTTACGTTCGTGAGACAGCTGATTAGTACTCGTCATCGACCGTAAAACAGTATGTTACAGGAATCACCAACCCGTCGATCGCGGTCCACAAGTCGATCTTGGAAGCATTCTAAGTCGATCGTGAAGAGTTGTCAAAATCAGAGAAAAAAAGCCTATTGTGTGTGTAGTAAGTGTGTCTAGGGGATGCGGAGGCGCGCGCGCTGTTACAATCATGTCATTTTTGCCGCGCGCACCTTTGCGCTCATGTGGACGCATCGAGGTTAAACAAGGCTTAACGCTTTAACCAGCTCAGCCACAGTAACAGCTCATATTAGCCAGCTAAACTTTTACTACCCTGTTAGAAAAAATATATAGTTGCATAGTTTCATGTGGTTCTTCTCCCTCGCTGTATTATGGGTTTGCTATGTGGGGAGAATGTGCTGGTTACGTTTGTGAGACAATCAGCTGATTACTATTATTATATTATATATTAAGACCCTTGATCCTCACCTGAAACTTTATACATGATGTGGTTTACTGTATAATGGACTGTGGTACAGAAACAGTGACAACGTTTTACACTCTTGGCTTACTCTGGCTATTCTCTGCTGTCTCAGACGACGATATGTTTGTCCTGTTTTAGCCACCGTAGCTTCTTCGAAAGGGAGGGGTGAGCGGTGGGCTGAGCCCTTAGTGCAAACTCGCAACCGAACCGCTAGATGTCGCGAAAAAATACACACTGCACCTTTAACCTTCTAAATGTCCAAATTTTTTAATAGCCTCGAAATAAACACTATTCCGAGCTGACAACTTACTATTCTAAGAAAAAGAAATGTGAACAGACAGGGATCTCTGTGAGTGGATAAGGAATCATAAAGGCATGCTGTTTCTATGGCAACTGCCTGTGTGCACTTCTGTGATGACATGTGGCACAGATAAACTGATAGTTTGCTTTTTTTCTCCTGTGCACACACACCTACACACTTTTCATTTTTCTTTCATCTTGTTTACGCCTTTCCTCGTTTTCAATTCCTAGTGTATTTTCACTGCCTTTGTATTTGAGACATGAGTTCTGGCCTTGAGGCTTACATATTCCTGAGTGAAGTCGATCAGGTTCTGCAAATCAATGTCATCTCTGTAGGCTCGTATGTTGTTGTTGATGAAAAAGTTGAGCTGATCTTTAATCCAGTCTTTAAAGACAAAAGCCAGGATTCCGGCAGTCAGCTCCAGGAAGAAGATTATCCCCAGAAACACAGAAAACTGGGAGAGGACAAAGACAAATACACTCAAATTAAAGGTATAGTTCACCCAAAAATTTAAATTCTGTCATCATTTACTCGCGTTTAAGTTGTTCCAAACCTGTATGAGTTTCTTTCTTCTGCTGAACAGAAAAGAAGATATTTTAAAGAATGTTGGTAACCAAACAGTTGATGGACCCCATTGACTTCCATAGTATGAAAAATAAATACTATGAATTCAATGGGGTCCATCAACTGTTTGGTTACCAACATTCTTTAAAATATCTTCTTTTGTCTTCAGCAAAAGAAAGAAATTCATACAGGTTTACGAATAAACCAAAGCATCTTATAACAATTGCACAAACACCTATGCATTTAAGTGTTAAAAAGGCATTACAAATCAGTTTTGCATGAGGTTACACCAACTCCTAATAAGAATCAAAACTTGGAAAACGTACAAACTTGAGCAGGAGGGTGTTTTCCCTCAGGGCCCCGATACAGCCTGCAAAACCCAGGATGAACATCACCCCTCCCACCACCAAAAACAACCACACTGGGTCAAATCCACCCAGATCTGTGATGGAGGAGATATTCGAGAGAACTCCCTGAGGAAGAGAGAGAGAGAGAGGAGACTGGGCTTTAATTAACTGAATTGCTGTTCCAATCTGTTTCAAATGTGGTTGTTTGCAATTACAGCAGATACAGATATTTGCAAATATGGCACAGAAAATGCAAGAGCCACATTGATCAAGAATACACACACACAATATATCCATGTGTGTTTATACATATTTGTGTGTAAAAGACCAGATGGAGCATTGAGTAAAAAATGTAAATAATATTTTCAGTCTTATATTAAACTGTCTAAATGTTGTTGTTTTTTTTTGGTCCACCCTACATAGCACATTGGTAGATAAATTAAATAATAATAAAAATGAACTAGCTGCCAAGATAAAATTCCGAAAACGGCAACTATATATAAATATATAATCAAAATATTAATAAAACTATAATAGTAGGTCTATGTAGGTCTCCAACAAACCACTGCAGTTCATTTATTTAATGTGAAGAACATGTGACATCTCAACTTCACATGTGCATTAAGATGTTTATCAAATAAAGATGAATTTTATGCATTATGCATTAGATACTGTTTTTTGCTCACCTTCTCATTCCATGCCCACAGTCCGATTCCAAGGAAAGCCACTCCAAGCAACTAAAACAAGAAAGATATGGCATTGCTCTGGTAAAATTGATTCACTAAAGGTACTGTTCACCCAAAAATAAAAATTCTGTAATTCTGTCATTTACTCACCCTCATGTTGTTTCAAACCCATAAACCTTTGGTAATCTTCAAAACACAAATTAGGATATTTTGAATGAAACCTGAGATGTGTCTGTCCCTCCAATGAAAGGCCAGGGACTCGAAACTTAGAAGATACAAAAAGGTCATTAAAAATGTCTTAATTTGTGTTTTGAGTCTTATGGGTTTGGAACAACATGAGGGTGAGTAAATGATAACAGAATTTTCATTTTATATATAGATGCATTTTTTAAGAAAGCAAGTCAATGAAGATTAAGAAGTTTTAAAAGGTTGTCAAACCCTAAACCATTTTTTTTTGTGGATAATACAGTATGCATGCATTGCACATTATTGGAAAAAAAAAATCTTAATGATTTGAACAGATGGATTAAAAGTGCAGTAGGCCTATTGCATTTCCTGAGAAACAATTGATATTTGAAATAGACACCTAAACAAACACACCCTTCCCTTCGTTATGATCCGCCCCCCAAAAAAACAATGTAGGACAAAGTAATTTAGAATTTTCTTATTCTTTTGAGTTCACAAAACTGGCACATTTTAGGTCATCTGAATTGTTTTATTGGTTTGAGGTTTATGAACTTGTTCCTTTTAATTTAGACAAACTTAAATTCGACTGAAACTGGGCTGGGAGTTCCCCAACATGCTTTGCCATGACACTCGAAAGGGAGAGTAAATGCGACAATTAAGCGTTATATAATGTTTTTGTGGAAGATTAATGTTAACTGATTAATGTTACTGATTACCTCTAAAATTTTGAGTTTTGCCAACTTGTTCTGGTTTACAGTGAGGCCTTAAACATTAGTGGCCTGTAAAAGGTGCTTTGTTATCAGTTCAAAACTATTTTAGGTCCGTTTTGGGTTCTTTAGAGAGTCAGTAAATAGGAATGCAACTCTTATCTGCTTCTTATATCCAACTCTGAACCCACAATGCTTTTCTCCAAAAGTACAGCCTAATGTTTCCATTTCAAAACTTCTTTCCCCGGTGAGCCAATACTGAACATTAGAGATAAAAAGACAGTAAGCATTTTATTAGATTTCCTCAGCCAGACCACAAAATAGGTCATGGCCAGTGAATGTAAAAGGTGCCAACCTCCATATTTCACTCCTCAGGTCTTTTTAATAATTTCAACAGCTTCTCATGTTACACCACGACATTTCTGCAATCTGCTTTTTCATGGTTGCATCTGAGCAGACATCTGGTTCTTCCCTTGAGACGTATGTCCCCATTATGTCCATAGGGCAGTGATTCTGCAAGCCCTTCAGAACTGGAGAACATGAATTATTTCTATCTTATTTCTTCATATACTATGATTTTTTATTAAAGTGCCCCTATTATGGATTTTTGAAAATTACCTTTTCATGTAGTGTGTAGCATAGCTCTAAGTGAATGAAAACATCCTGCAAAGTTTTAAATCTGAAAGTGCACCGTATATAAAGTTATTGTCTCTCAAAAGAGTCGACTCCGAGTCAATGAAATGAATCGTTTATCAAACGAGTCATAAGCCGTTTCGTCGTGACGTCAAGACGAAACATTAGCATATTGCCCGTCCACTTATTGAGCGCGCAGACACCAGGGAAAACTTGAACCTCAAACCAGCAGCTGATTCCTGTGGATACTGGATAGCATCATGTCGAGAAGACCATGTGCTCTACAATGTGAAAGTAAAGCCAGTTTTTTTCCACTGCCCAAGGACGAGCATGTGAAGAATCAGTGGTTAAAATTAATCTTTACCACGATATCACAGCAGTATAATCCTAAACTTTTGCTGTGTTACCTTTATTTTACTGATGACTGCTTCTCAAATCTCGGAGTTCAATGCAGGATTCGCAAACCGCTTGCTCTTGAAAGATGGTGTTCAAAATACTTAGTTTTGAGTTTGATATTGTGTAGGTCTCCTGCTAACTGGCTTAATCATGTTATTACTGTCTTACTGAAATACTTCTGCTAATCACTTGTGGGCCACTATTACCTAAAACTGTGTCTATTAATGCAAATTATCTGTCGTTCTCACTACTTTGAGGAAAGATTAAGCATGGAGCAAGATTTGTTTTACCAACGTTTATGTTACATCGGTCATTCACGCTAGAGCTCGGCAAACATGCACTGTTATTGATACAGTTTCCACGTGTTCACCGCAATATATTAGAAAAATACTCTGTAAGTAAATAAGTACAAGTAAAATAATCGGTTTGTTGATGGACATGCACTTGTTAAAGGGATTCTATGCAGTTTTTTTTAGCTTAACTGAACAGCTTCAGAGTTATTAAAATGGTTATATGACTTCTTTCGGGGTTGAATGGTGGCCTTCTCACCCCCCCCCCCCTCCCCCTCCCCCTCCCCTCCCCTCCCCCCCTTGAAATCAAGTGACCAATGTACTTGCCGCTCACAGACTGTTGCCGCTGCGATCAGTGGCGTGGATACAGTGTTCTGTTGTGACGCGCATAGTCTTCACACGGACGCACGCCTCAATCGGTTGCGGGGACTGAGAGACTCTCTATATTTGTTACGGTGAAATCACAAAACCTAATGAACTTCTCCCTGCTATACAATCACTAATAAACAATCGGTTTGGATGAGGAAAATATACTATACTACTAGTACAAATTAGAACCCAGAACCTCTGACACACTTGGCAAAATTTCTGCCACTGGACCATTAAAGTTTATGGGGATAATTGTCGGATCTATGTATTTAGTCACGTGAAAATTCTCACCACTAACAACATATATTAGATCTCATTAAACGACAAATTTAACAATGTACTATTGTATACTATGTAACAGGTCACGCTCTGCGTGAGTGGTATTTACGACATTAACGTTAAATACAAGTTCTCCACAGCGACTCTAGGGGTCACTGTTTGACAAAAACGGGATTCCTGCCTGGTGTCCCCTGGTGTTTAATGCTGATGGTGAGGAATTACAGTTGCAACATCTCATAATGTACCTCAAACTGACTAGCGTATCACTGAGAAACGTCCTGCTCAAGTTGTTTTTGCGATGGAGGTTCGGGTTGAATGAATAGTTCTTCCAATGTTTCATCATCGGACTCACGCTCGCATTGATATGGTAAAATCGACGTCATTGTTCGTTACTGTGTTTAGTTTACGGTGTAGGAAGCCTCAGGACAAGCAGAGCTGTTGTTATGGCAATGGGAATTTTTGTTTTCGAAGCCCTGTACATGATAGACCAATCACAACCGACTGAGCTGTCTGGCCAGTCAGAGCAGAGTAGCTTGTGAAAAGAGGGGATTTAGAGAGATCTGGCGAGTCGTTTGATAATAATTGAAAATGCGGTGATGTGCAAATATATATTATGAAGAAATTAAACCGTTTTTTTTTACCTTTGATGCATGTAAACCTGTTGTAGGAGACTCCAAAACAACATTAGGAAACTTTAAAATAGCATAACAGGGGCACTTTAATAAAACACATATATGCATTAGGCCTATGTTCAAATTTACTTTGTTGCTCACAAATTCTCTTGCAGTAATACGAATACATCTACTCCATGCAAAGAAAATTACTTCCGGATTACAAATTTGCAAGTTATTCCTCCAAATAAATGTATTAATGGCAGGTTTTGTTTCGCTAAATTCTGTAATGTGCATTTGAAAGAAGCAGGAACAATTTACCCGAAAATTCACAGATTCGTTCTTCAATGGCCAAATAAAGAAAAAGAGCAATAAGTGGGAGGAGACACATGGACCTTAATGTCAGCTATCCCATTTTACATATATTCATTGCTGATTTCAAATATGAGCACGATGTGTCATTTCTTTTCAGAGGGGTCAGGACCTTTAGTTCGACCACCCTGTATATCTCAAGGCCGCAGAGACACCTCTAGAATTTCACTATTCAAAAAAACATTCACAGCTACATTTCGCCAAGTCGTTTCGGTCTAAACGGCCCTGTTTGTCTCTCATAAGTAACGCTTCATATTTTCATCTACAGAGCACCGACTGTGCGTCGGACTATGCCTCACACAAGGGTTTTTGTGTACATGAATTACTCAAGACAACAGTACAGTGATTGTGGGTACAGCAGTGGCGTGCACAGACCTCCGCTGCTGCAAGGGGGAAATCATGTTCCCATTTTTAACCCTCTGTTGACATCCCGTTCCGCAATAGACCTTATTCAGAGCAGTGCCATGACAGGTATGAAAGCGAGGCTGTGAGGGATAGACTTATCAATGGCATCCGCTGTAAAAAGCTGTATAAAGCAGCTCCTAGATCACTAATCATTTTCCTCAGCTCATATTGTGGGGAGTTTTTAAATGTACTGGAAAGATATTTTTGCAGGATTTCGTCAGCGGGAAAAAATCCAAAAACACATTAAATATCAGTACAACCCAATGAAGAGATGCATGTCAATCCCTCACAGCCTTGCTTTCATTCCCGTTAAAAATCAAAGATGCTGCTGTGAATAAGTTCTATTCGACCGAAAGGACACTTTACTATTAGTGATTATTAAAAGCATGTGCATGCCACTGGTGTACAGTTCTGTAATTCTCTTACTGAAAAATAAACTCTAACTCAGATGATGTACAATCGTAATACATTGGGGGAAAAAATGGTGTAGGATTTACTTTGAAACAAATTTCACTCAGGAACTTTACAAATATGACAAAGAAATGACAAGTAACACTGAATTAAATGTGAAAGTAGTAAGTAGAAAGACTGAAATAGTAATAGTATTTTTGGCAACTTTGAAAATGTCTTCTACAATTAATGAATATTTAACCCACAGTCACCTAAATTTATTCAGACACCTTCAACATTTCTCACATTATCACAGTTTATTCGCTATAGTTTAGAAAATCGTAATAAAATATGACAAGAACTCAGAGTTATCAAATCAGTTCATATTTCCCTAGTTTTGGCCATCCTTCTGT